GCTCACAGATACTCCGTGGAAGTCGAGAATTTGTTTTTGTATTTCAATGGAGGTAAGGTGACGATTTCTCAAGCTGGTCGTCACGATGAATCGATCCTGCCTTTCAGTTGTGACCCGAGATCGTGGCCTTCCTTGGCGACGAACAAAGCCGCCAGTCTCTAGGTACCTCCGATAAACATTTCGGACCGCAGATCGACTTAAATTAAGTTGAGCACTCACGTTTCTTTGGCTGTGTCCGGCCTGAATAAGTGCCACAGCTTGGGCGGCGACTTCAGGTGAAGTATCCATAAATTATTGATAGAACCTCACCTTAATGTTAACATTCAATATAATAAGTAATGTTTATTGCAAAACCAAAGGTATCAATCACTTTTTCAAGAATTAAATCCAAGTAAACCAATAAAACCAAGTTTTCTTGGTATTCGATTATTTGATATCAACAAACAGGCTCCAAATTGTCTTTTTTTTTCTTTAAATTCTGTGTTCGAAATTCAAAAAAAGACTATTGAATGAAATTGTGAATGTGCCAGGTTCAAAACTGCATAAAAACTTTTTGCTCGACCTAATATAAAATTTTAGCTAGGACCAAACGAAACTGAAAATACAAGGTGGGCCAATAGATGTGTCCAGAAGTGTATATCATTTAGCTTTATTTCTTTTTAATAAGGATTTTCTTAAAGAAATTGGTGTTCTTAAAAAATCTGGAGTTTTGAGTCGGGGACAGCGGCATATATTTACTTAAATCGGGAGTTCAGGCAATAGTGTGCTGATACTGGTATAACATAAAATAAAATGTAATCAAATAAGAATACTTTATAATTCTGATCAATACTGATTTAATTTTTGAAAAGCAGGAGTTAAACATGTTTTCGACAAAAACATAAGAGTAGTCAGTCACGGATATTGTTTGGTCGAGTCAGTAGTCATTTGGGACCGGGACCACTGGTCCTGACGGGGACATGGAATTAATAAATTATTTTGAGGCGGCATTCGGGACCGAAGCTAGTGGTCCCGAATGACACCTATGTTTAATGATTATTTTGAGTGGTAAGTTGGGACCATAAATATGATCTAAGTTCCTATCTTAATTTTTTATGACGAGGAAGTACAGTCAAAAAAAAACGGCTCTTATAATATAAAATATTTCTTTTATTTGAAAAAATCACAGCCTTTAATTGAAAGTAAACCTAACTAGCTAAATATTTGTGTTTATTTCTCCTAAATCTACATGATTGCATTCAAAATCATATGTTAACAAAAAATGTACTTATACATTTTACATGAAGCATACAACATTTAAATAACAAAATAGTAGCTCTCATTCCAACAAATTAAAACAATGTCACCCTATTACGTTTTAGTTACAAATAAAAATTACTTACAAACTTTTCAATTAAAACATCCGTGTTACTCGATGGTATTTTAAAAATCAATATCACAACCGGTTTTTTACTATTATTAAATCTTTTATTTCACATAAAAAACAACTAAAATAATAATCAACATAAGATTCAACCCCCGTTTAACTATTTTGTTAAAGTATTCAGAATCATTATATAATTAAAAAAAATATAACATTTATATTGAAACATTTTTTTTTGTAAATATTGTTGCTAATAATAAGTAATAATTCCGTATCAGTTTCATGAGGAATTGATGGGCATTACTGTATTTAAAATCTTAACTTCTCTAAACAATGACCGACAGTTATTTGGCCATTTATGCCTGCAATGTCAGGTTGATCTTTTCTTTGGTTGCTACACTCTCTGCAGATCCTCTGGAAATATTATTCGTCTTTTTGAGTTTATTGCAGTAAAAGCTACTGTCCTTCCTAATGCCCTCCAAAAATTTAACTATATTAGGTTTTGATTTCATATATCTTTTTACGTGGTTGTGCCATACTACTATATTGTTTGTTTTATGGTCTTCATTATAGGTGCACCATATTGGAAAATAAATGTCATTTTCTAACCAGATGCTGACAAAATTATCATCAAAAGCTGCCTTTGCCCTTCGGACATTCTTCCATTTTGTAAAACCACTCTTCAGTGAACAAATGTAACGGGAGGTGAACAGTACTGAACATAACTTTACATGTATTTTGCCCAACTGTTTTGCTTTTCTCCATAAACATCTAGTAAAATGGAAAATGCTCCGGATTGCCAATATGGCAGGCACTTCAAAATCCATGCTTAGTTTTAAAGGGTTCCACTGAGGTATACGACTTCTTTATAAAGAAAAAAGAATGGCGTATGTTTCACGGGTTTTATCAGGTAAAAGCACACACAATATCTGCTCTGATGTATTTCTTGGAGGGTGACACTGATTGGTTGAATTAACAATTATTCCATGCATTATTTTAATTGTAGCATTGCAGAAAACCTTCTTTCGGCACCTCCATAAATTTGATCCATTTTTATTAGTCCTTTTGAGTATGTATTCATAGTTTGACCCACTTGACATTACCATCGCCATAACATTGATGAAATTGATGAGATGTCATAATCATCACTTAACCAATCTGGATTGATTTGCTAAATAGTAACTGGGCCCTTTTTTGTTTAAAGTATATGCAAAAAGCTAAGCTACTTTATATAAAAAGGTATGGTTCTCGTTTTTACAGTTTCACAATTTAATACAATTATTTATTTTAATATACTTTTAAATAAAAACAATAGGGATGCGTAAGAGAGATAGCATGTGCACAACATTTTAGTGTGTGCATTTCCTACCGATAACATAAACACCATGTTATTTTTTGTTTGTTTTAAATTAAACTACCTACTTTGAATAAGTTTATTTAAATAAAGAACTTAGTTCGGTTCGTTATACATTTATTACTCTAGAGTGGCTGGATTGATTATCATGATGTTTGATTAATGAAGGGTTTTTTACAAAAACAGCTTTTTAATAATAATAATTTAACAGGAAATATAAAAAACATTCTCCAAACCATATTTTTCATTTAATAACTTAGAAGTTTTGAAAATATATTCATGTTAATGTATTGGATTGAATATGTAACATTTTTTATTATTTATATCTACTGTTATGGAATAAAATTATAAAATCTAGTATGTACTAGTGTTCTTTTTGTAAAAAAAAATGTGTATGTTATTTTTGTAAAAATAAAAGTAAAAGTTTTGGAATTAAAGACATCTAATTATTCATAATTAAGTACTTTATTGACATACAAACAATCACAGCCATTATAGAGTCCAATTAACTTATTATTTATTCTTCTCCTTCACTTACATCTTCATTATCAATATCCATAACTCTTCCTCTGCTACAATTTCACATATTTTATCATAGATAATCATCTTGTATGGTTCACTCAAAAAATGTTTCAATATCTGAATATCCTTAGCTTTATTAGGATTCAATGGAATTTGAGCCTTGTACAATGGACTAAAATTCAGTTCCAAAGGCAGTGGACGCTTTGTCTGTACATGGATTCTTGTCCATTCTCCAGTAAAGTTTTACTTAACCAAGACAAATGTTTTCACAAAAACTACTTATCTACGTTCAGATACGTAATTTTTGTAAAAATTGCACGCAGTTGTGTAGTTTTTGTAAAATATGTGTTTTTTTACTGTGCGATTCTGTGCTAATTACACAGTTTTTGTAAAATCGAAATTAACTGTCTGGTGTAACTTCTTTCATAGATCATATTGCCATCATTTTGTTAGTTATGTAGTTTTTATAAAAAACCCTTCATTTATATTTGTCATCACCCCGAATACTAATATATTAACGAGCTTTTGTCGTTGACTGTACTTTTTAATCAAACACTTCTTTCTTTATTTTTGGTCCCAACTTACCTCTCAAAATAATCATTAAACATAGGTGTCATTCGGGACTACTAGCTTGGGTCCCGAATGCCGCCTCAAAATAATTTATTAATTCCATGTCCCCATCAGGACCAGTGGTCCCGGTCCCAAATGACTACCGACTCGTTTGGTCATCATTATAGGGTGCCGATTCTGCTAAGCTAACGTAAACATTATATACGGCCAGTGAATTGTAATGTTAGTATTAATAGTTTAAAAATAAACGTGTTGCACGCTTTCCGCGCTATATCAAAGTTTTCAACAAAAACTATTTAAAATCGCATACTTAACAATTTTATTAATGTACTCCAAGGCGGTAGGAGCAATAGGAAACGAGATATGCGAGAAAAAGTATTTTTTGCGACCTTTGACCTGGAATATCTCAGTTGCCTTGCATTGCACCACATTGCACCCCATCCATTGTGACTTTTGACACGTTACTTCTTAAATCAAACAGTAAGGCTACAAATTTTCAGCTAGTTACCTCACGTTCCGTGGTTGAGCTCTTTTATTGCCTTAATTGACTGGACTAATTAGAATTTACAACTGAGTGTAAATTAAGAAAGCCCGGTTCCCTACGTGATTACAGTTACCCCGAAAACGATGTTTTTTTTTGCAAATGCAATATCGCCATTTAGTTTAGCATGAATCGGATTTTCCTATTTCATATCGGACATTTGGCTAGACATTCTTTTATTGATTACAATTCTTTGCTAATTTTTTTTGGTTTTAGTGATATTATTTGGATCTTGGATGTTCTTGATCATATTCATTCATCATTTATCCGTAATCGAGTAGACCGATACGCCGCACCGCAAAAATAATGATTAAACAGGGATACTCCCGTGGTCGGTTGTATCTATCATAAACTTGTTCTACAGGGCCTTGATTCTACATACGATACCGTTTTTTGTCTCAATTCTTAAATTTTGTATCAATGGTGTTTTTTTTAGTTTTGCTTTTCGATAAAGTTCTCGATACAAAATATTTGTTTACTACAAATATGATATGTTATTTTGTGATTTGTTTACAAGAACGGTATTTAAAAGCAATCCTATTGTAATACGCTACATTGTACCATAATCTTGCGCATTGAGGTATGCTACCATGAACCGCGCACATGCAGCATGATTGTACTTTAATTATTTTGTGGTATTTTCATTTCAGGCTATACGAAGGTGGTGGTAGTATATGAAAATTTAAAAATTATGTTTACAATCATTGTGATGCCAATAACAATATTGTTTATATTATATTCACTACTAACCTGGAAAGTTTTGGACGGTGATAAGAAAACTCGAAAACGTGGCGGTTTTCAACATTGTATCTTAGATTATCCGCAGGGTGATTTTAATTCCAGCACTGAAAAGCCTATAATTAAAGGTATGATTCCAAAACAGTAGGTACGGTTTATATATTTCCTCTTGCTCATGTAAATGAGCATTCTATTCTTTTAAATCTGTTTAATATTACATAATTTTATTTCTGATACACTTAAAATATTATCTCTAATTTTTATTTTTTTTGTGAATTTCCATCTCTTCGAAACAGATCCGGTAAATTAATTTAAATTAAAAAGTCTTATACTTGGCTGTGCACAATTATTGTTCACTTGTTTAACAATTTGAATTCATCACAGAGAAATGCACCTAAAAAGATATATTTTTTCGTTAAACCATTTTATTTGTTTAAACTACTTAAAAGTATTTGTTATTGTCATTTCTTGTTCAACTACACTATTCGGGTTTTGTTCTTTATGTCCAAAACATATACCTGAATTTGGTGCACCCCAACCACATTAAAAGTGTTTCAGTGCAATGTTAATTTTGTCTGTCTGTAAGACCAACTTGCTATATGTAAAATCAGAAATGTGCAAAATACATTGTAGTATGTATTTAAATACATACTACAATGTATTTTGCAACTCTTACTTACCTTTTTTTTAAATACATAACCGTTTTTCATTGTTTTCGGGCCATTAAAAAAAACACCAATACAATAACCACAATTTAAAAGTAAATGTATTATATTGTAATAAAGTATTTTGGAAATATATACAAAATACATATTTCTAAAGGAGATTGCTCAAATTGGCCCAAATGCACAAAAAATATTGAGATACACGGTAATTCTTGGCGTAATTTATAATTTAATTTACAGTCATTAGATTTCAACGGGACACCTTTGTATAATATATTCACTTTAAAAAGGACTTTTCATTTTACCTTTTGCTATGGGTGTAGTAACATTCAGCCAAAGACTGATGGAAGTTGTTTATATAACATAAAAACAAATCTATTTTGTAAAGATGGATAAAATAAATCTTTTTTTATTACACTGTGGTATTCATATCCACAACTATATTATCATTTTCACTACATGCAAATGTGCTCAGACAATTATATAGATGGTAGGCAACATCATAAAGTATAGACTTTGATATTGGCAATAGTGCCATAGATTTTTCGCCAAACACCTCCATAAACACATTATAATCTGTTTAGACTTTAAAATCTATGGGCCTACGTTGCCTGACTATAAATAAATAAAATTATAAGGTAGATATAAAATATGGTTATATTAAAAACATTACAAAAATATTAAAGCTTCTGAATGTATGGATATATAACCTAAATCTCTTAGCTTTCTTTGGTTAAAGAGAGTTTAAAAATTCTCTCTAATCTGTGGCTCATTCACAATCATCACACAGTTTCTGTCACAGAGTACCTTATTATAACCGGAAATGCATAGATGACACCTGATTTTAAAAGTTACTCTTATGCATTAACTTTAAAAACAGGCAACTACTTATCTGTTAATCTTCATGCTCTATATACCTGAATCTAATCCATAATTTCGGTACTTGGTTTGATTTCCCTAATTTACTATATAACTTATTTGTTTTTGACGTGACAACGTCTTAAATTAGGTTGCGGCTGGGAGTCACTTATGAAAAAGTGTAACGCTCGGTAACGTTACGATGAGTCTCTCGTGTTAAGTTTAAGTTTACATGTACAATGTTTTAGTAAACAAAATATATTTCTATAGTTAAAATTTGTGCAATTCTTATTTTCATTCAATTCCTTGTTCCTATTGTGCAATTTAATTATATTCATATCAATAAATATTCTACCGAGAAAAAGACGTTGTCACGTAAAATCTTCGCCCGTAAAACCGACTTTACAGGCAACCATTTTTTTTATTACGTTAATATGTTCAGTGTATATGGTTTATAGAAGTTCTCAGGGGTGTCCGTCAATAATATTCGTTCCTACAGTAATTTATATATAATTTCGAATCTAGGAAACAATTTTTCATGATTATTGGTCTTTAGGCCAAACATGTATGGAAGCTGAGCAATCTCCTTTAAATATAAATTTAAAATGCAAAATTAATATTTCCAAAATACTTTATTACAATATAATACCTTTACTTTTAAATTTTGTTTATTTTATTGGTGTTTTTTATTATAATGGCCCGATAACGAAACATTTTAGTTAGTAGTTAGTGTAGTTTTGCCAAAAAAAGTCGCATTAAATTGGTATTGCTCTAAACTTATCAAAATATATATATATCTGGTTCTCATGAAAACGGGGGGGGGGGGGGGGGGGTAGTATGATTTGGAAGTCGGTGGGTCAAAAAATTAAAACACGTACTTATACCGATTTTAGAAATGAAAATGTATTCCATGTTTCAATCTTGGCCCGGCCCGACTTCCAAATCATACTAGGACTAGGACTTACCCGATTTCGTGTGATTTTTTTTACCATTAAGTTCCATTTTCTATTTAGAAGTCGGTTTTTTTTTATGTTAATTTTCATTTAACCTAATAAAAAGAGCTATACGACTAAGTAAACAAAAACGTTTATAAAATAAAAACTACACACCAAACTGAATTAAATTTTAATGGGACTAAATGGCAAATATTCTGCATCGGACAAAAAAAGAATCATGTAAATCGGATCAGAAATCTTGGCGCAATCGGTCTAAATTTAAAAAACATTATAAAAGAAAATATACCGACCGAATTGAGAATTTGAGTACAGGCGGTACTCAAATTCTCAATTCCTTTTTGAAGTCAGTTAAAAGTATTTTGCAAATACAAATTATTAAAAGTATTTCAAGTAAAATACAAAATACTTTTCTAAAAAAATATTTAAATACAAAATGGAAATAGGTATTTTACATTTTAAAATTTCTCATCACTGTGTGAAATCAACTCTAAATTGTCTGTTGATTCATTATAAACTCATGAAACGAGTTGAGGAGAATCGTATCTAGCGGTTTTGGACTTCATTTTATCATTTTAAATGTTGGTAATTGAAAATTATTGTGTTTGTGTGTATTGCCCAAACAAGAATAACTGTGTATTTAAACATTTTGCGCCATTGTGTGTTTCATTGTGTGGCGTGCATTTGGAGAGGCCTCTGTCCAGCAGTGGACTAAGACTGTTGATGATGATGATGTGTGTTCGAGAGATTTTTAAGGAAGAAATTAAAATTTCTGTGAACAATCCATTTTCGATGCCATCTGAAGGCTACGATATTATTTGAATTTTCATATCTGTCGCCTCTTGCCCTTTAGTGCTCATTTCAATTTATGTCTCAGAAAAGTACCGCATCATATGAACACCCATTTATTCGTAAACTATAATTCGGAATCCAACAATCGATATACTTTGATTTTGCATAAAAACATAAACATAATGAGTCATAAAGCTTGTTTCGTATTTATGTTTATTTTATTATATATATACTTAGCTAATACTTAAAGAAGTCATATTTCTCACTCTTTGATTAACGTACACAAATAGGGCACTATACAGCTAAACAGGATGTTCTTTTAATATATTTAAAGATGTTTATTTGACTCAATTCTACTTACGGTATTATATTGAAATAAGAAAACATTGGGAGAAGTAGTTTACATAATTGTATGCAAGGAATTAAATGTTCAAACTCCGTAGACCCTGCGCCCAAGTTTAGTGTATTTTAGGGCTTTTCGAGTATTACGTAAGCATATTAAAGAATGGCATGGTGACCTTACTCGGTCTATATTCGTAATCTAAAAGCATGTTCAGAAATTCCCCAGAGTAATGGTTAATGTAGGAAGAACCGATGTGGGGGAATTACTGCATCGTCTGTCTATACTATATAATTAAACACACGTAGTTTTATGTGTTTACGTTAAAGAGGTTTTGAGTTATAGAAGGGTCAAAAGTAGCACCAAGTGGTTCGTGTAATATTACACTCGGCGCTGGCTAACCAGTTCCTTTGCTTGAACTTGGCTTGACACGCTGCCGCTTGTCTAGATATTTTATTTCAATAACTGTTAAGTGAAGGTGTTCCAAGTTAATTCGTTGTCTATATTTCTTTTCATATTTGGACTTAAAATTTAATGCATGAAAACCTGGACAGCTTAACAAATGTAAATATTATATATATAGGTATATATGATGGGAAGAGGACAGGACTAAAGATTAAAATTACCACATTTCATACAGCTTACGTAATACTTTAATGTTTGAAGAAATATCAGAAATAGTTGTTACATTCTATTATCATATCTTCTAATGCTTGGACAAATAAGCATGATTTATAAGTACAGTTTGATAATATTGATGATTGTTATCTTGTGTTTACATGAAAAAAAAAGCTATGTTAGGTTATGTAAGGTAATTATAAAGTTTGAAATTGCACATTGCCACATTTATCGGATTCTGTTTTCGGCTCTGTTGTTCTTTCAGAACTAATCTCCTCTTGATTTGTTTGAGTATTCTTTATTTGAGGTGTTTAAATTATGTTTTTTGATTACAGATGATCCATTGCTTATAGCACCTAATCACCTTAGGATAGTGTCGAGGACAGATTGGCTGGCACAGCCTGTAGAAAATGAACTAGATAAAATAAAACAGCCGGTCCCATGGGTAGTAATAACACATACCGCGACAGAGGGTTGTTATAATCAAGTAAGTGAATTGGTAGTAAATTCAAACCCTATAGAAATATCACATAGCTCGTAACCACCGCAGAGAGTTGACTGAGCGTCATTTCTGTCACGCACACATTGAGGTAACATTAACAAGCATTCTCACGCACTTTCCAGCAGAATTTTCTCGGGACTAGCGTTAGTATTGTCTAAATCGATAACGGTAAGTGCGGGTAATTATTTTTGATGATGGCGGGAACCGTATGACTACTTTCCATCATGTGTTAAAATGCAAACTTGGCAAATACTAAAAAATATTAATGGTTTATCTGTCACTTGTTTACGTACTTTAACTAAAGACCTTAAAGTGGCGCCGCGCCGTTGAGTGAGTGTGTTGAATACATAATTATATTTTAATACATGCCTATCATTATCTTGATTTTATATACTATGCGATATGGCGATATAACTCAACCGTTTGTTAACACGACATTCGCATAATACATTCAGGCGATGCGATCGGCGTGCACACAGTGTCTAGTATATTTACATAGAAAGTTTTTATTACAAACAAGGCCCAAGACGATCAGGAGTTAGCATTGAGCGAGAGAATTCTCACTGACCTCGAATGTAGGTAGCGCGACCAAGCTGTTAGGCTGATGTAATATTTTGTTCTCCCTCCAATTTAGGATTGACCGAAAATTATTAGAAAATATGGTATCAAACTTCGATAGTATCGATTGATAAATTAATGTGTGTATTTTATTTATGCGTGGAATAATTAAAGCTGAAAATACACCTATATACAATTTCTTTAAGATTATTATATTTCAAGGGTTATTGTTAATTAACAAACCCGTTTGGTGCACCTTAGTAATTCATCGTCCTTAAAGAATGTAATGGGATACGGTCTCTCCCTCCCTCTGTGCTAATCTGGGATTAGGGCGGTTTATGTTTTATACTTTCCCTTTAAATCACACATGTCCATGTGTTATGTTTGAAGAATTAACAAACATTTGTAATGCTTTAAAGTAAGGTAAAAACTAACGTATATACGAAAGCTTTATTATTATTAGCACGGCGTGATAAACTAAGCTTATATTTGGATCCTGATAAATAAGGTATAAACTATTTAAGTTATAATTATAAAATAGTCAGTCAGTGAAGTAGTCGAACTGATTATGTAATATATATCACGCATTCCATGATGAGCAAACTCTGGTATCTGCAAATATGAGGCTTATGTACACAATCGGCCATTTTTGTCACAGTCAAGCAATAATCTTTGAACTTTATTGAGAGTCGTTAATCAGACGTGTTTTTACCCACGACGGGCATATCGGAAACTGGAGGCGGTACGTGCGCTTGGGATCAGACATAGATTTTGGGCGAATGTGTATGTGTGAGAGTGTATCTCGTGTCTGTTGTGTTGTATCTCTAATTATTTTCCTCGAAAACTAGAACCGATTTAGTTTCGGTTTGCGGTTTATTTTTTGGATTTTATAGCCAGCGCAAACAAAGGACAAAAGACCCCGAATCGTGAAGAAATTACGCGCCGAAGACTTGTTGACTCAACATTATTTTGATGAAAAAAAAGCGGAACATTTGTCCTCCGAAAATTTAGAAAAGCCGACGCTATGGAATTAAATATTCTTAAATTACGTTGTGTTGTAATTAACATGAATTTTAATAAATAGAAAAGACTTTTTAATATACAATAGCCGGTTCATCTTTTAAATCCGTTAAGTTGCGTCTGTGCGTTGCCACGCCTTGTCATATGAGTTTTATTTTTTTCGAGGACACCCGCGTACTTTTATCCTGTAGGGTCCCTCAGTGTCTTCACTTTTGTACGCGAGATTAATACCTCGCGTCCGTTATTCGATGCAGTTGGAAGCGATCTATTTTGGCGGACAAAAGTCCCTCGTCTGTGCAGGCTATCAAAGGTAACCTTTCAGAGCAGGTTCTCAGGGATGGTTTTATTTGCAGAGTCAATGCGTGCTGCGAGTTAGACTCATACAGATGTTTCACGTGGAAGCTAAGCAATGGGACGACATCTCCTACAACTTTCTGGTGGCCGGTGATGGGTCTGCGTACCACGGCCGCGGGTGGGACTTCGTAGGTGCGCACACCCTCGGCTACAATAGGTACAGCATAGGTATAGCTTTCATAGGGACATTCAACACTGTATCTCCGCCGCAGAAACAAATCGAGGCCTGTCAGAAGTTGATCAAGTTAGGAGTGCAGCTGGGAAAGATCAGGAAGGATTACAAACTGTTCGCTCACAGACAGCTGGCTTCCACCCTCAGCCCGGGTGACAAATTATACGAAATTATAAAGAAGTGGCCCCATTTTGTGAAGGAAGGCACGAACATTGATGACTTGACACCTAAACATTATTGATGTCGTTTTTGTATATTATCTTCATAAAATTTATTTCGTCATATTGACTCGTCTTTAAATATTTCATATTAGCTTAAAATAAACGGGTTACCGTTTTGGTTACGGATATAATGAAATATAATAGGTAATGGCATAAAATCAAAGATTTGACAAATGTTCATATTTTATGTATTGTATGGCATTTTAAGTTGCGTGGCACTTAAATGATATCTAAGGTTATTATAGTAAGATGTGTAATTATTTTTAATGTTTTATGTATTTATACACAGTATTGTCGTTTATTAATACTTATTATATATATATGGTTATACAATTATTTACAAATTATATGTATTTATATATCTACCAAAAATGGAACGTAAGCTCTAGTCATCTCTTCTGATTTGCGGGTAATACCCGCCAGGAGTTGTGGCCTGAAATGAAATGACATCACAGCATTGTGTAAAATTATAATATAAATTTATTTTAATGCAAATGATGTTCGTAGAAATTAATCGCAATGAAATGAATCACAACATTGTTACCTGTTTTTTTTTCAACTTATTTGGCAATCTTCTGCGGTATAAAAAAACGCATTATAAACGAGTGAGGATTAGAAAGTGGTTCTATGTTCTTTTGTTTTCAGAAAATGTTATGCTATACCATGCGAAATAATTAGCATTTCATTTACAAAATAATTTAAATAAAAAAAAAATTATAACTACTTAATATATAAATAATTTCCGATGCTTATGATTTGGTTCATACTTAAAACATAATGCAAAGCATTTTTACTGTATTGTAGTTAATATAATATCAATATAAATATCTTGTACGATTAAATTTATAAATTTGCGGAGTTATAAAATGGTCACTTTTAAACTACCTCAAAGAAAGGTTTTTACCAAATTTTACCAAGTATGATGAATCATTACATTTTAATCCGTGACCAGTAAATACATTTAATTATAAACAAGAGTTCTAACTTAAGGTAATGCATACATATCTGTGTTACTGAGAATGTCTGAAATAAATGATTGTCAAGATGTACACCATCACTAATTTGCGGCAAAATGCAGTGTAGGTCCAGAATTGTCACATAATTTTCTTTTATCTATCTAACATACACTGGTGAAGATGAACATTCAACACTTGTGTTTGATCTTAAAGGAAACACTCTTTTCGGTTACTTAAAAAGGTTACGTTGGAATTGTGACCAAAATCAAAGCACTTACTGAGCGATCAAAGCGAGCAGACCGCGCGGTAGCGGCTCTAGTAAAGCTTAAAAAAATAGCTTGTTTACATATCTTCAAATAAAAAACCCTAGCTCGCTCATAATAAACTTACATCAACTCGTTGCGGTATATTATAACTAAACTTTTAAAATTGTTACAAAGAATAAATAACGATCAATCATCATGCTTAATAGATATTGACATACACAGGTGTATTTTAACATATTATACTGTACTTCTGATATTTCCAGTAACATAATAATTATAAATATATTTAAAAATTGCAATTGCGCACAATTTTTTGATCTCCATGATATTTTTAAGTTACCATTTTGCTCATTTCCATACCATATGATAAATATTATGTATAAAAATATTGTAAGTATATGAGATTTCATTGATGATTGTGTTAATTGCATTTAAATGTATACCTTATTTGTTGTATTTTTTGTGTTTTTTTTGTCTGTTGTCATCGTCATAGCAGCGGCTCTATAATTATTTTTTATGTAATACTATTTCAAAAGTAGTATTTATGTGCTAAGTCTCGGGTGCTTTTAATTTGTTCTCGTTGCCTAATATAGTTTCTAAGTTATAATATTATATAATTATAATATTGAATAGTTTATAACAATTTACTTAGTATGTTATTTTTGATATTCAAGGAGTAGCATTCGTTAAGCCGTTGATTTAGAATTAACAAAAAGTGACTGGGAACAGATTAAAATTATTAATAAAATAAAATAAATAAATACTTCCAACACTCATACCAATTAGCCTAGCCGCAAAGTAAGCACTGTAGGCTTGTGTTATGGGATACTAGGGTAAGGGATAGAATATATATATACTGATACATATACAAGTATATTTATAAAGATATTTTCTATATAAATAAACTTATATTTGTACATATTTAACATCCATGACTGGAGTACAGAAGCTCGTATTCATCACACAACCATCCGCTCCCACCGGGATTCTAACCCGGGACCTCTCGTGTTGGCGACACCATGAAACCCGGCGTTCATACTACTCGGCCACGGAGGTCGTCGATTAAATGTTTTAAAGCAATAGCAGTTCTTATTAATCATATTTTTTATTTAATATGTGTTTGTATTTTCCACGTGTTTTGGACGTGTACAATTTAGACGCGATGATGGTATTCGATGGTCGTTTTGTTAAGAGCGCACGTATTATTTAACCATTGCTGTTAATGTAAATCAGTTTAGAAATAGTAGTACTCTGTAAGGCAGCAATGTGCGTAGTTATGATACCGTAATGTAACAAACGGTTCTTAGTCGAATGGAATACATGGTTTACAAAATATTGTGTGTTGTTTTCCCTCGAGTATACTGTACCGTAAAACTCATGACATAGAATCACACTTTTAAGCTGGTAGGTTAAAGTAGTGAAGCGTAGCATGTAATGTAGGTGCTGTTTACCCAATCAAACATCTTGAGCATAAACCATTGACAATGAAACCCTTTTACATATAAATAATGTCTACTGCGCAAGCTTGTTCGTTTATGGTTTTACTCAAAAAGTTTGCCGCTACCTATATTATTTTATTTTTATTAATTGATCTAACAAAAAAAGGCCTTTACGTTGGTTTATTTATAGTCTATTAGTTTTTTATACTTGTCATAAAAATTATGTTACTAAAAAGATTATTTTATAGGTATTATTTACGTGTCTTCCTAAATCTTGAATTCGTAATGAAAATTGTGGAGATTAATATAATTACATAAACTATGGGTTAGAAGATTTGTAAATAAAGTTAGTTGAAGCTGGAGAACTTTCAGTTTTTTTTGTTTTTTTTGTGACGACAGCATGTAAAAGCTGACGGCGGCACACAGAAACGCCATTGAAAGTAAATGATTCTCTAAGTGTCTAGTTTTCTTACCACTTTAGAGAGAGGGAGAGTGTGGCAGCATCGACTTTTAATTATACATTATTTATGTCCCTAGGGTCACACGCAGCAATTTTCATATCCAAGTTAATCCAGTTGGATATATAAATTTGTGTTTGTCTCCCTGAAGTCAACGGCTATACCTAAAGTGAAGTTCAAACATGACTTTGAGTTAGTTTCATTTAGAACTTTCAAGCAAATTTATCTACCGCTGCAGGTGGAGGACAAATGAACTTAATACGCGCTTTTATTATTATATTTCTATAGCAAAGAAAGTGGCAGCATCAGTTTAAAAGATATTTGTGTGGCCGTCAGTTTTATTGAGTTAATTTAAAGGAATTAATATAACAACATACCAAATTGTTAACTCCAACGAATTAAAAATAATATAAAAGCATTACTCTCTAACAAAGGCTGCTAAAACATGGTTTAAAACTCATACCACTAAACCTCAGTACTGATGCGACACGCAGACAGTCAAGACAAAATACTTTGACAAATCAAATATCTGTAAATGGATTCGGCTACCTATTTATTGGGTAAGATAATGTTAAACGGAAATCCCAACCAAGCCCATGATCGGCGTGTTGATCGTTTATTTTTGGCCCCGCCCTTGACTTGATTGCAGTTTGCGTGGAACTTTTTAGCGCAGTTCGTATTACATATTATTTCTAATTCGTTGGTTTAAAAAGCAACAACTCTTATTTTATATTCCATTCCGATGAAGTAGAAAAAGAAATTCCAAAAAATTATATATTTTTTTTATAAGTAAGCATCTATGTACTTACTTTATTTAATTAAAAGTCAGTTTAGCGATAAAAAGTTGTATTTAGTATCAAAATCTTAAAAGCAAGGCAAATAATGCGATAACACTTGGTCATTAGCCCGAATACGAGTGAATATGAGTGCCAATGGAATTAGGGTAAACGAATAAGTGTAAATGAACCGAGTCGATAACGTCCGTATTCGGGTAGATTTCCTTTTGTTTATCCGGCACCGTCTATCAGCCCGCATTCCAGTGTAAATATTGCTTCGTGTGTCCGAATTCGATTAATGTCTTTCGTGCGCCCCAATACGGGTTAACGACCAAATCTAAATGCGCCATAAATATTGCTTCGGGTGCCCGAATTCGAGTCATGTCTTTCGTGCACCCGAATACGGACGAACTAAATGCAATGACCACCTTGTCATCTCATAATTTCATGAAGTTAACTGTACAGTGTTTCCACTTCCCAATTGAACAATTAAGATTTCATAGTATAGGACTTTGGCTAATATTTTTAATCGGAAGTTCTTCCGCTTAAATCTTATTTAAATAGGTAAGCTCTTTCATCATTCGTCTTTGTTGGTTTGGCTAAACTAATAGTCTCAGATAATAAGCCACTGCCCTAGGGCATAGCGTGATGTGTTAAGGCGGCTTAGCGTCAGCTCACACCGAAACGCGACGCGACGCTGCACGCTGCACAGAGCGACTCAAAACATAACTTAATTTACTTCGCGAAAAGATACACATTTCATGGTTTGAATTTTCAGATTATGCGTTGTGCAATGTATTCTGAATTCGAACAATGAAATGTGTATCTTTTCGCGTAGTAAATAAAGTTATGTTTTGAGTCGCTCTGTGCAGCGTGCAGCGTCGCGACGCGTTTCGGTGTGAGCTGACGCTTAGGGTGTTACTAGATCGGTCAACGCCGATCGAAGTTGATCGACCTGTTTGGTAGCTATAATTGATGTAGAAACTCCGTCGGTCGACGATCGATCGTTTGATCTGCTAACACCCTTAAGCCAAGTAGTGATGGAAATCTACTCCCAAATGCGACGGAAGTCCGCCGAATAAAGTCAATTATATAACCAGCAGTAAAGAATTGGTATTCTAGTGATCAGTCTATGTTTCCTTTAGTTGTGTCACTTTTGAGCTCTACAACTTTTATAAAATTTAATTGAGTTGATAATTTAATCTTGTCTAAACAATATGAATTATTATGCGCATCATAATCATGCCAATTGTTTCCAATTCATTATAGATTGGTCATTACTCTGTTATATTTATGCAACGCTTTCTTCCGGCCTCCTAATAAAGAATGAATTTAGCCACTCGTCGATCATCTTCTCTTTTTCTTTCAAGTTGAGTGCACTCAAAGTTTCATTAATAATTTAAATGTAAATTATATATTACAATATTATGTATTTTGTACGCAATTAGCTAAATATTATTTATCTTACTTTCCTTAACCGGAACTTTAAAACTTCTCTTAAAAATTCTTAAACAGTTAGCCTATTGCCAATATTAAAACATTTAATGTCATAATAAAAAAAACCATAACCAAACGGGTGTTATAATGTTGTACTAAATTTCATAATAATTACTTCTTCGCTTTTTAAATTCCTTCTGCGCTAATGGCTCCCACACAATACTATGATGCGATGCGATACGACGTCGCATTGCAGGAACTTTCGATGCTAATTGCTGTGATTTGATTTCGTGCGGCAAAGCTTTGGTTAAGGTGACCATACCTTCAGCCGTATAGGACGTGTTTTTATAATAGTGATATGGATCGCAAAAAATTGTTGCACTGCTATTATTGTTAAATAGATAAAGGAGAAAAAGAAAATTTAAGTTCCTTAATTTACTCGAAAATACAATGGTTTGGAAACAGTAGAAGATATTTTTTTGATTATTTTAGAATGAGCATATCTTTATTTGAAAAGATTTTGAGTTAATTATCACCATTGTTACCATCTACCTTGTTTTTTTGACTCAGATATTTCGGCACTGTTGCAAGCGGTGCAAGCTGAACTAATAATGTTAGTGACTATGAAAGTTTAAAACAATATAATTATTATGTCACCATGTCTACAAAAACGATCTTACTAGGGAAGTCTCAAAGCGGAATAAAATGGCGTCAACAAGTGTGCCGTAATATCGCAGATATGCGCGATGTGAATCAGATCGGAAGATTTTGCTCTCGCACTAAGCACTAAGGGCTTTCTCATCAGACACAATTTTCACTGCTCGTTGCGTGGTATAATGAATTTCAAAAAAGAACATTGTCCGTCACGCGCATTTCACTGTCACAGCGCCGAAACTATCATGATTTTTTTATTTTAAAACACCAATGTAGTACTATTATCACACGAAGCGATTCATGTTTTAATACCCCTCATTATACAGCAGTTGCATAAATAACTTAGCATCTCCTTATTTGACGTAAGACCCAATCAAATCGATAATTATGATTTAAGTTTTCTTCTCGGTTTATATACAGTTTATAGTTTATCAATTCTAATGCTGCTGGTCTAGCTTGTAAGGTTAAGTAGTGTTTGTTAAATATTGTACGTATTAATGGAAATATGAAAATTCATATTTTATACGTACGTAGGTAATTATGATTAGTATATAATAAAATAAATATCAAGATTTAAAGAACAAATACGAATATAAAGAGAGAAGAGAACAAACAACAACAACAGACAATATTAACTTGCGCTGTAGACATTTTTATATGAAAAATTGCTACTGCGCAGGCTTCCTTGACTTAGGTCGACGTAGCTTTCTTGTGTTTCCAAAGGCGATCACTCTTTAACCATTATCAAGTTGTCCTCACATTTTTGTCACCATTGCAATAGGATCTGGGCTCTGGCACAGTCCAATGTATTCGAGATTTTGCCAGGATCGCAATCACGTATTATTTTTCATGTAATCTATTTGCGTAGTTTACCTTACGACATTTAACTTGATATATAGTTATATGATTGTATAGTTAAAGCACAATGCATCACATAGTTACATATTAAACTGCTCGATATAGATCGAGTTTAAAATTCTATATTGAGACCTGGTCAGAAAGGAAATTTTTCTAGTGACATTTAGCTTCTTGGATTTAATATCACAATATCCTTTATGACAATTTGCACTGAAAATAATATAGTGTTTTGATAATAATTTGACAATAAATAATGCTCTCTTTATCGTCGTATTAAACCTGAGATCAAACCACAGTATCCTCTTCAAACTTACCGTTGTCATTTTGTTGGCACAAAAGTAAAAAGCACTTGGACGCAAGGTTTACAACCATGGGAAGTAAGTAGATACTGCTGGCTATATCTTTTAAAAACATTGTAATTAAAATTAGTATAAAGCGATTGTTGTCAAAAGAGTCAGTTGCGCATTGTTTGTCAATCTGTATGTCTTTGAATGTAACAAGGGCGTCGCCTGCCTTCCTCTGCCCCCCCTTGGTGACGCCCTTGGAATGTAACATGATTTTGTAGTTAACTCATAAACCTAAATTTATTCTATGGAGCGATAAACAAATAACTACAGGCTCTTTATTCTATTTAAATAATTGCTTTTATTTTGTGCCACAAACGACGGACATGCCCCGTCTTTATATTATAATGCTTTAAAAGAATGACGTAAGCGGGTTAATTTCCCACATCTTGTAAGGTACCTTACCTTGTTAACTTCTACATAATGAATTAAAGCCAATTTGGAAGACTGGATTTGGTAAATGTACATTATTTTATTTTTATTACAATAAATGTACTCGAGTTCACTTGATGCGTATAATTTGATTACATCGTTAAAGCACAATGCATCACATAGTTACCGACAGTCTTTGATTATAATTATTTTACCTCAATAGCAAATGATTGAAAACTTAGTTTTATTGTGTTTTACCTATTAAAAAAAATCAAAGTTATGTTTTATTACCTCATGTTTTATTTACCCACTTACTTCTCTTCGTATCAATAACCAATCCTACATATTAAACTGATCCTTAATCTATGCTTTAATCAATTTGCCATTATAGTATTCGTCAAGGTAAAACGATCGTACTCATTTATATGTATTATTACTAACTTATTTATTAGTTACTGTTAGTTGTTAGTTGCTTATTAGTATTCCATTGAAACCAAACATCAATTGAATAACAAAAAAAAAAACACCGGAAATTTATGTTTGATTCCATTTCAAAATGTTTTTACACTACATATTTCAAAACTATTAGATATAAATCTAGATATCTGACATTTTGATCTTTCAGACCAAAACGTTAAGTGATAAGTCGTCAGACAGGACTGAAATGCTTTCATGCATAATGAATTGACGACCGTTTGCATGACAAGGCAACTACATACCTACTTAGCTCGCAACATTAACTATTCAATAGCTAAACAGTGTAAATAACTAAGGTAGGTATATTAATGTCCACTTATTTTGTAATTAATGTAGTGGAGCGCTTTTCAGGATGTTTAAGGATCGTAAGTGAGATAATAGGTAGTTACAAAGTATTCAAATCCCACAGTTAAGTTCAGCTTGACAATAGTGGGATCTATCTGTGATCTAATTTTCAGTTTAGCTTGAATCTTCCAATGTTATAGTACTACTGCTTCATGAGTCACTGCAGTCGGTGGTAATCAAATCTCTGGCAAAGGCAAGGTTTACCATTATTTTTTAAGGTTCTGTAACACGTTTAAATTAACGAAAATAGTAGGTAATCTGTTGCTACTTGCTAGAGCAGGACTGCAGGAGCAGACTCCCCCTAAAGCAGCGTGAAATTTTTCTAGATTCCTTGAAGGTCAAAATTCTGAGAAAAGAGTATTTAAAGGTATATGCTGCAATGCTGCGTATCTTGAAAAATATTTTCATTAAAATGTAAATACTAAATTATTATAATAGGTTAATGAGGAAACTTACTTACTTGTAGCTATAGTTTGCTATAGTAGTAACAACACACCATTAAAGATAAAATCTAACTAGATATTCATTTATATTGCTTGCTGTATCTCGTGTGAGGTAACAGGTGTGCTTTGTCCATTTTCCCCAGTGTATGCAGCTATTTGTGATGTTATCTACGAACTGAATCTAAGTACCTACAATTTATAACGTGACGCTTTATGAACTAGCTTTTCACTTCCAACATAATATTCAATACATAAACACGTCTTATACTTTCAACGATTTTTAGTTGGGTAAAATGGTTTTCAATATCGAAGATCTCATGATAAAAGAGAAGAAAATTAGTGATATTAATAAGAAGCCATCTGCAAATAGTTTCTGCTCCAGTAAAATCGTCGAATTTTGTAATAGAACAGATTTGCATGGTTACAAATATATTGTGATGAAAGACCTGAATAGATTTGAAAGGTAAAAAATTAATCTTCAAAACCTGTTTATGGTTTGCACTTATATAGTTTATGTTGTGAAAACTTATGGTTGTATATATGTGAAAATCCATAATTAAGCAAATTAAAGTCAAATCGCCTTTAAGTGTTTAGTCCAACCTACTCGCATTTAATTGAATGTTCCCTTGTATAACATGGAAATAACAATCGAAGGTGAAAGCATTGCTAACAGGAAGTTTACAGGAGTTGCTGGGCTCTGGCAGTGATGGTCAGTTTAGTGATCGGCATCTATTTCGTGGTCACGGCGTACCGATGGTATGCCAGAAATCCTATCGTCACTGTAAGTAATTTTATTTTAATGTATAGTATTAATTATACGGACACAATTTTGTCAATTTCAATACGTATAAATTAAGAAAGGAAGCAACCTCCACATTTAAGAATACCACAGTAAAATAACACTACCTTCAGACCCCTCTTTCCCAGTGGGCACTTTGGGCAAGTGCCCAGGGCCCCGCGATCGATAGGGGGTCCCCTATCGATCAGATCAAATACAAAGACCCTAGTTCCTGTTAGACCACCAAACGATAACCAATATTTATTACCAAAATTCTTATATAATTCGATTGAATCGAACCTAAATTACTGACTACAATACCAACTTACTAGCTTTTACATAAGCGAAGCTATTCTACACCCGCCCAAAAATTTAGCTTTCCGACTTTAGCTTGCTTAGATAAATTTAAATATACATATAATTGTATACTAAATGTGTATGTGACACATTTTAAAGAAAAATCATCAGTAGTACACTTATCAGTATGAATCGCTCCATTTCAAGTCATAAACCACATCAAAGTCATAGGGGCCCCGTTATCCTGCCCAGGGCCTCCAATATGTTAATGACGGCCCTGACTACCTTTTGGTGGTGTTGTGTTTCTGCTGGTGAGTAGGGTTCCAGGGCTCTGCGAGTTAGGGGATTGGGTTTAGGTCGGCAATGTGAGCATGGTTCGAGCGACATACTTTCTGCCGCATCATCTTTCTTCGCGCCTGGACTCCGCTTACACTGAACATCGTAGACCGGGAGATGATGACACAAAATACTTGGTCATTTGTACCAGTATGGCGGTTCTTCAGGGGTCTAATTACGTAAAGGCAAAAAGGAAAATGATGGTCATAGCGCTCGCACCGGCGGCCAAATCGCGTGGGCGTTAATCGAACGCGTCGGATAAATAACGAGTGTCGAACGATTTGTTCCACAAAAATGCTTATATTTTCAGATAGTCGAAAAAAAGAAGTAGGCGGTAGCGTAATGCCATACTTCTCGGGTGTGACTTACAGCCCGCCATACCGACGCGAATACATTAATTTAAATAAAACAATTCAACCATATGTACCAGGCTAATTTTTGCACAGCTAATCATCGTCGAGTAGCCATTCACGAAAATCACCTTGCCATACTTTTCCGACAGTTCCCAATGGCCGCCATACCGCTGCAAAGGAGTAATTTTTTTTTTCGCCAAACGATTTGTACCAGTATTGCATTTGAATTTTTGGAAAGTATTTGGCAAAATGTGACCGTTATTATTTTTCCCATACTTCTAGTAGGGGGAAAAAGTGCTGCCATACTTTAAATACTTATTTATTTGACACGTTTTAAAAATACGACTGCAAAATACGTAAAATCATTTTTTACATCATGACATCATTGTATTCTCGTCATTTGGATGCAATTGTACGTAAAAAAAATGATTACAGATTGTAAACATGGGGCGGATGACTGTCGGACTTGAGCTAAAAGGTGAAAAAGAAAAAAAAAATTGACGATTTGTACCAGTATGGCATTTGGATTTTTGGAAATTATACGATACAATGTGACCATTATTATATTTGCCATACTTGTAGTAGAGGTAAAAAGTGGCGCCATACTTGAAAAACCTGTTTTGTCGATACGTTTTCAAGGTACAAGACATAAAATCATTTGTTACAGTATGGCATCATTGTATTCGGTTTATTTGGATAAAATTCAACCTAAAAAAAATAATCCCATACTATAACTATGGGGCGGAAGACTGTCACACTCGAGCAAGATATGAAAAAAAAAAATTGGAACGAATTGTAAAAATATGGCATTTTAAATCATTTCCAAACTTGAAAAAAAACAACTAAGTTTTGGGAAAATTACACAGTACTTATGGAGAAGTGCCAAAGTGATGCCATACTTGAAAAAATAATTTTCGGATTTTTTTTTGTGTTAAAAAATAAGCCTATACCGTGACCAGGGGGGCTGGAGCTGCCACACTCGCTCTGATATGCCGACAACTAATACAATCTTGAAACCTTTTTTCGAAATAGCCCACCTGTAATATCGTTCCCATACATTATGTCTTACCAACACGATGAGCCAAGACCTCTACAATTCGAGAAATCTTTCGAGCGGTGGGAACCGCAGAATATTATACAACATAAAATCTGCTTATAAGACAAGATTGCCGCCACTTAGGTGTTTGAAACTTTGTATTTATATTCGTTAAACCTCAAACTTACAGGAAAAATTAGTGCCATACTGGTACAAATCGTTCGAATTACGAATAAAATCTTGGGACTTTGAAAAAATATTGTTCACATTCGCCACCTCCCACAGGTATGGCATTATCAGACTTCTATTTATGATCATACGGGGAACTGTTAAAAAAAGTTTCAGGGTGGTACAAATACACACATCAAAAGTGTCTAGGGATCAACTTATATTTTTGCAATAACTTTTCTCCTGATTGATATTAATTAAAATTTTCTTTAAGGATTCATCAAATAAAGTGTTTTCGTTTGTCACAGTAACGATAAACCAAGTCACCTTTGCATTAATAAAGAAATTTGCCATTTTCCTAATAAAGGGATTTTTGACATTTGAACCACTAACACAAAAGTTCGAAAAAAAGACTGAAATAACAGTTTTCTCTAAAATTTTATTGGGTAACTTAAACAATTAATAATCCGTATTTCTACCGCGAACACTAACAACACAAGAACATCGGTTTGGCATACTCAAAATGAGTTCATCCAAATCACGCTGTGGAATGGCCGCCCATGTTCGTTGCAACAACAAAAAAAGGTCTTCTTGCGACTGGATACCCTCCATATTCGGCAGAGCTCTTCTCTGTAGCATATCCCATGCATGCTCAATCGGGTTCAAGTCTGGCGACTGAGCAGGCCAGGGCAGGACATTGATGTTAGCTGCGGCGAGAGTCTGTCTTACAACTCTTGCGGTGTGCGGTCGTGCATTATCATGCATTAACTGAAATAAGGGACCGATTTGCACTTGTAGAGGAACGATGACGTCTGATACAATCGTCTCAGCATAAATTTGAGCGTTGAGGTTGCCTCTGATCCAAATCAACTCAGTTCTTCCGCCGATCCAAATACCCGCCCATACCGTGATGGTTCCACCACTATAAGGATGGACTTCCTGGCAGGATTTTAATCGCTGTTGGCGTCCAGGGGTTCTCCAGTGTCGTATACGTCTTGTATCCGGTCTCATACCAAAACGAGACTCATCAGAAAAGCACACGAAACGCCATTGTTCTTCTGCCCAATTTCTGTGTTCAAGAGCCCATTGATATCGAATCCTACGATTGTGCATTGCTATAGGTGGTACCCGTAGCGGTCTTCGGGAATGAAGGTTCACTTCATGCAAGCGGTTTCTGACTGTTTGGTCGCTAATTAAGTTCCCTGAAGAGTGATGAAGCCTCACGGCTAACATCATGGCGGTTATTGTTGGAGCTCTTCGAGTTAAGATTTGAATGTATCGGTCTTGTCTCCGTGTGGTGCAGCGATACCGTCCTCCATGGCGCTCAGCCACGGTACCAGTGCTTCGGTATCGTGTCCAAAGTCGACTGATAACACTCTGACTTGTATTCAGAGCTAAAGCCACAGTACGTTGCCGGGAACCAGCTTCTATCATTCCCACGGCTCTGAGCATTTCTTCCCTGCTTAAATGACGTCGCCGCTCCATAATAACGTTGGTTTTAATCAGTAGTAGGGAAACAGTAGCACTAATAATGTCTTCAATGCGTTGTATGTTTTTATAGGGAAAATATTGACAGCTGATTTTCATCTTTTACTCGAATTTGATTCACAGTTCCTGATTCAAATTATGAAATGCACCAAAAAGGATCCATATAAATTTATAAAATCATAAATTTATTACAAAGCCACATCTCAATCTCAAGAAATCCGCATAAAAATGCTTGATCCCTAGACACTTTTGATGTGTGTAGTTTGGCGAAAAAAAAAAATTACTCCTTTGCAGCGGTATGGCGGCCATTGGGAATTGTCGGAAAAGTATGGCAAGGTGATTTTCGTGAATGGCTACTCGACGATGATTAGCTGTGCAAAAATTAGCCTGGTACAAATGGTTGAATTGTTTTATTTAAATTAATGTATTCGCGTCGGTATGGCGGGCTGTAAGTCACACCCGAGAAGTATGGCATTACGCTACCGCCTACTTCTTTTTTTCGACTATCTGAAAATATAAGCATTTTTGTGGAACAAATCGTTCGGCACTCGTTATTTATCCGACGCGTTCGATTAACGCCCACGCGATTGGGCCGCCGGTGCGAGCGCTATGACCATCATTTTCCTTTTTGCCTCTACGTAATTAGACCCCTGAAGAACCGCCATACTGGTACAAATGACCAAGTATTTTGTGTCATCATCTCCCGGTCTATCGAGTGGATTGGGGTAATTTGTTGCGCATCGTATACCTACTACCTAACATTTTATGTTGAGACATCAATTCCCTTGTTTTCCCTTTGCAGGTGATAGAGAGTACACAAGCCGCAATATGGGACGTTCCCTTTCCCGCCGTAACAATTTGCGATTTAAATTTGATTTCACGTAAAGCGGCTCAAAATTTTGCAAGAGACGTGTAAGTACCAAGTATTTATAATTAGTCCAAAACAATCCCAGGTAATATTTATTTAGAACTAGCGGCCGCCCGCGACTGCGTCCGCGTTAACTTTAGTTTTTAAAGAATCCCTCAGGACTATATTTGTACCAAATTTCATCCCAACTAGTTCAGCCGTTTTTGCGTGATTGAGCAACAAATATTGAAACATACAAACACAAACAAACAAACTCACATTTATATTCAGTAAGATTCTTTGTTGTACTCGTCCATGGTTTGGATACGATCTCTCGCGTCCAGTCTATACATCTAGGCAGGGGCTTATTTTGAAATTTTGCGCACCGGGCCACTAACGATTTGCACATCCCCTTAGACTAAGGAAATGTAATTTATTTATTTATTAGAAAACATATACAGCTATTTTACAGGAATTATCCTAATGCAAAAGTGTAGTTCTTAAAATTACAATTAATAAAATAAACATAATTGTATTAAAAAAAGACAATAAAAAATAATTCCATTTTGTAACATAAGAAAATTAAATAAATTCAATTTAAAATATAAGTCCAGTAACGACTGCTTTATATGGCTTTTGTCGTCCGTGGCAACTCTTGCCGCCCCTCGCAACTCTTGCCGTCCCTCGCAACTCGTGCCGCTCCTCTCAACTCTTGCCGCCCCTCTCAACTCTTGCCGCCACTCGCAACTCTTGCCGCCCCTCGCAACTCTTGCCGCCTCTCGCAACTCTTGCCGCCACTCGCAACTCTTGGAGCCGCTCGCCTGCCGCCACAGGGCATGGCACTCTTAGCCCTAGCGTAAATACGCCCCTGCACCTGGATTATGTTAAGCTAACGTTAGTTATATCGTGTCTCAGTAGCGGTTCAATAGTATCTCATATTGACACAGTTCTTGTTACATAAACATGAAGTAATTAATGTATATTTTAGAAAACCATAACAAATGAGTAGATGTGCTTATTTATGATTTTAGGTAACAGTTACTGTTTTAGAAATCATTACTTTAAATTCCCCATCAGGTGGGTCATATATTTGTTTGCCACCCTTTTACCATAACAACAAACAGCAAAATCGACACTCTGTTCCCACCATACAATAACATCTACTATACACCACACATACACCTATAGAAAGCAAACCTATAGAAGTAAGAAAAGTGGTAGAAAGCATTGAGATATCTACCTAATGTCTTAGTCACAGGTCTTAGTGCTTTTTACCAATTTCCTTCTGACTCTTTAGGTTGTTCAAGAGGAAAATATGTAAGTAAATGAAAATTGATTTAATAGAAAGCGTCCCGAAAATGTGTCCGAAGGGTTGGTGTTCGACGCGGTCCGATATGCGCCTTTGTTGCATGCCTCGTACACGATACCAGTGGAACACAAACGAGTCCTATACATTCTTCAGTCGATTTTAGACTTCAATGACATATCTGTGGATGATTTCTTTAAAAAGGTAAGTTTGATAGAGTTTGCTTCTATTGTGGAAGGTACAGTACGGCAAGGTTCTTTATGAATGTGAGTGACAATTCTGAATGCTAGTTTCAAGCAATTATATTACCTAAGCGTAGTGAGATTCATCGTGTTAGGATATTACATACAGGGTGACAGGAAAACTCGACCTATTCCTTGAAAGGGGTTATATACTAGAGGTCATTAGCAACAAATTAAGTCAAGTGAACTAGGGGTCAAAACTGGATGGTTACCTAGTAGTGTTACTAAAGTCCTTTTATTTCTAAGATTATGTAAGTTTTGACCAACCGCTTATTTTTAAAATGATCGTTAATTTTTCTGCTTTCAGAAAAGTATTAAGTAAATGTTCAGAGTGGAGTAGTTTACTCATAATTAATGGCTTTGGTAGCGAGTCAGAAAATTTCTAAAGAATATAAGAACCCTAGTTGACTGGACATAATTTGTTGATAATGACCTCTAGTATAACCCCTTTCAAGGAATAGGGCCAGTTTTCCTGTCACCCTGTATAAAAATTGGTGTCAAGTGCCTACTTCAAATAATTTCATTTCATTCATTCACTGTTTATTTAGTAAGGTATTTCCAAGGTGATAAACAAGACGCGACGCTTCGACTCTGCGCCAGTGTGAGTTGAGCCTAAACACTCCCATATTTGTCAAACGCCAGAATGGCGCGCGCCACTGACCATCAGGACTTTTAAGGCAGGTAGACAAGGAGACTGCTGGTAATGCAGTTGGTAATATAAACATTAGACAGAGAGCTCAGAAGATACTTTCAAAGAAACTATCACAGTCTACAACGCTAACGTCAAATGTACAGAGTTAATTTTAAGATACCTCGCAGGACTAGATTGCTAACATCATCAACGAAGAGTTAATAACATTCGGGCGGTAAATAACTTAATATTTATTTTTGTATGAAAATAAAATGTAACGAATTTTCAAAACTCGTAGAACAAATGTTTCTGTGTATGATATTAGCTATCTAGTACTGCGAGGTATCTTAAAATTGGTTACCGGTATTTTAAAATTAACCCTGTATAGACGCAAAACTACAGATGTTTTAGTTGGAGAAAACTTAAAAAAAGTCGTAAAATGCGTAGATACTAGTGTGACACATATTAAAGATCCTTATATATGCTCACATTATGTCCACAGCTATCACCAGTTTCGACATGTAACCAGCTCATAGAGAGATGTATGTGGAAGAATACTTTGTATCGCTGCAATAAATTGTTTCGTTCTGTGTTCACTGTGCAGAATATGTGCTGCACGTTTAATTACTTTGCCGTACATAACACCACGGACAACGACCAGTGAGTTCGATCGTCCATAACTTAATTGCTTGTCCCCTTAATTTTTTTTTAATTATTACCTAGAAATCCACCCTGTTCAGTATCAGACAGGATTTGAACCTGTGCCTTATGTATCCGTAATATAGTAAAATTTTTATTTCAAAAGCTAAAAATAACAATACAGATCTCGTCCCCTTTTCAACAAATTTTAAGCTTGAACTCTCTCAAGGAAGATTGAATGAAGGCTCTGATTTTTCTACGCTTGATCTAAGTTTGACCTAGTTTGTTTTTCTCACTCAATTGAGATTTCTAACTCGATGACAGAAACAAAACACTGCCTTAACTTAGTCTAATATGTGATAAATCTTCCGTTCCTTCGTTTATTATTAAGAGGGTTATTAAGAAAGGTTATTAGGAAAGGGAAAAGGTTAAAGTTCAGACTACTTACCGAAGAATAATAAACATTAATTGTGTATTACTTAGACATACTCGGCAAGTTACCATCAATTGTTTCCGTGCTTAGAAAGGTTTAAAGAAACTTGGTGAGTCGATTTCATTGCTCTCCAGTGTAGATATAACAGCCGAAAATACACAATGTACCTAGTCAGGTTATAAATTCTGTCACATGTTTAATATAAAATAATTGAAACAAGTTTATTCATTATGTAATCATTTATATACCAAAATTAACTTAACGAAACATAGATTCTTATGACAATAAAGTTTATTCAAAATGACCTCCTTGATTTTGAATACACGTAACCTCTGGTTCAATCACGACTGTGCTGAAGCTGCTTCGCGTAAGCAAGCGGCATATCGTGCTTGGATCAGAGGCCGCGCTCTCAAGGATCCCGGGGTCGATTCACTCAAAGCAGCCTACAATTCTGCTTCCAAGGCCTGTAAGAAGGCTTACATCAGAGCGGATGCCCAGCGTGTTGCACGTGTTGGCCAGGAACTTATAACGCATCCTGCGGGCTCCCGTAGCTACTGGCGTTTGGCCAAGGCCGTGCAAAAAAACTTCTGCCAGCTCTCGCTGCCACCTCTGAGATGCCCAGACGGAACACTAGCTCATAAGCCGCAGGAGAAAGCCGATTTACTGGCAAAACTCTTTGCGGCTAACTCCCGAATCGATGATTGCAATGCACTGCCACCATCATTACCTCACTGTGGCACAACGATGCCTGATATTAAAATCAGGCAGCGTGAGGTTCGTGCCGAATTGCAATCCCTCGACGTCCGGAAAGCTAGTGGACCTGATGGCATCCCAGCAGTAGTACTTAAAAAATGTGCAGCGGAGTTGTCTCCCGTGCTCACGCGCTTGTACCAATGCTCGTATTCTTTGGGGCGTGTGCCGGAGACTTGGAGAGATGCTAACGTGCAACCGGTGCCCAAAAAAGGGGATCGCTCAGACCCGGCAAACTATCGGCCAATAGCAGTCACCTCAGTTTTATGTAAAGTTCTAGAAAAGGTCCTTAATAACCATCTGACCCGCTACCTAGAGGATCACTCCCTGATTAATGATCGTCAATATGGATTTAGACCGAAACGATCGACGGGTGGTCTTCTAGCGTACTTAACTCATATCTGGGGTGGGGCTATCGACAAGCGTGGCGAGTCGTTGGCTATTAGCCTTGACATTGCCAAGGCGTTCGACAGGGTCTGGCACAAAAGCCTTCTCTCCAAGCTTCCGGCATACTGTCTGCCAGCCCAGTTCTGTTCTTGGGTAGCTGACTTCCTGCATGAGCGTAGAATTCGTGTCCTTACGGATGGTAGCAGTTCGCGGTTCATGTCAGTGAATGCCGGCGTTCCCCAGGGCTCCGTCCTATCCCCCACTCTCTTTCTGCTGCATATCAATGACTTGATTCCTCTTGGCAATATTCATTGCTATGCAGACGATAGTACAGTGCATGCGGGGTATCTCGGACAAGCAGCGGCTGGGCAGGCAGTAACCAGGGAGAAACGGGAAAATCTTGTCATTGAACTCAATCAGGCTTTGGACCACATTTCCGAATGGGGTACCAGGAGCTTGGTTGGGTTCAATGCCAAGAAAACTCAGGCTTGCGCTTTCACGGCAAAAACATCGCCATTCCTTCCCCTTCCATCTCTTCAGGGCACAACACTACCGCTGCAGAGCAACATTTCCATGCTCGGTATGGAAGTTCGCTCAGACCTGAATCCAAAGGACTACATCGAAACCGTGATCAAAACAGCTTCACGCAAACTCGGAGTCCTGAACAAGGTGCGGCGTTTTTTTTACGCCCGATCAACTGTGCTTGTTGTACAAAACGCAAGTGCGGTCCTGCGTGGAATATTGCTCGCACCTCTGGGATGGCTCCGCCAAGTACTTGCTCGATGCTTTGGATAGGTTACAGCGGCGCGCAATCCGCATCATAGGCGATGAGGAGGTGACTAAACACCTTGAGCCTCTTCAATTACGCCGTGACGTGGCGTCACTAAGCGCGTTCTATCGTTTGTACCACGGCGAGTGTTCTGAGGAGTTATTCTCTCTTATCCCACCTTCCCCTTTCCTTCAGAGGACCACGCGCGCTGGCCTACGTTGTCACTGTCTTACTGTGGCCACAATTCCAAAGCGTACAAAGAAATTTGGTGACTCATTTCTTTGTCGCACTATCCGTAAATGGAATGCTCTGCCCGCTCACGTGTTCCCTCCCTCTTACAACCTGGGATCCTTTAAAAGAGGCGTGAAGAAGCAACATGCAGGCCGGCAGGGTGAGGATGGCTGGTGTGGCAGGTAGAACTGCTGTATCAGCTATCTTCGCGTCTGGACTTCACCTTCACTTAACATCAGGTGGGGTGGAGTCATTTGTCGGACCTAACTATAAAAAAAAAAAAGAAAAATACAGGCCTTCAATCTGCGCGGCCAGTCGTCTATCGCACGAACGAGGTCAATGTCAATATCGGCGGCTGCCTTAATCAAGGATGTCTTGAGTGACTCCAAATTGGGATGAGGCTTTGAGCACGCCTTTTTCTCGAAGTGTGCCATATCTTGTAATCTGATTCAAATCTGGACTGGAGGAGGGCCAGTCTTCGTGCCGGATGAAGTCGATTTCACGCACCGCCAGCCAGTCTTGTGTGCTTTTCGCTCTATGAGCTCGCCGAATCTTGTTGGAATACCCAGTGCCTGTTATTGAACATGGTATGAGAAACAGGTTCCACAAGGTTCGTCAGGACTGTATTTTGATACACAACTGCATTCGTTTTTACACCTTTCTCACAAAAATGTATCTTTGTTAAGCCCCAATAAGAAACTCCCAACTATACCATGAGCGAGGATGGAAAATGTCCTCGTTGGACACGCGGAATACGGTTGCTCGCGTCTTCATAACTGTGTGCGTACACCTTATCATTTTGTTTGTTGTAGCTCTCTTCTACGGTAAAAATTTTTTCATCCGAAAAAAGAATTTCCCGATATTTTTTTCCCGCGTACCGCTTTAACAAAGCGCGGCATCTCTTCAGTCTCAGGTTCATTACACGAGCATTCGAACGATATCCTGTTTTTCTTCGATATGCCCGAAGCCCTAAGTCTTCATTTAACACCCTTTTCACCGTGGTTCTGCTTTACCCATCTGAAGGGCCAACAGTTTCTGCTTACGTTTGGGATTTCTTTGAATTCGCGCCTTCACAGCTTTTATCACTGCTGGAGTCCTAACAGACCGAGGGCGATCACTTCTTGACCTGTCATCTACACTAGAGTCTTCATTGTATTGTTTGACTGTACGATAAACGAATTTGTTGGTTATATTTAAAATTTTCAGTATGACAAAAATTTTAATTGGCGCGTAACCGCACCGATGCAACGCAATAACTGCAACACGGTCTTCATTGAGCGTCCACTCCATATTTGAAAATGAATAAAATTCTTAAAAGTATACATTTTTATTTTCATGAACATTTCGGAATTCGAATTCAATAAACTTTTTTGTGGCCAGCATTCTAAAAGAAAAGTTTTTACTGTGTGACAATACTTATGACCTGACTAGGTATATTTCTATTACCTCTATTATAACAAAAAATCGCTTTTGTGGGCTTCTTGTTACTGGGCTTCTTTCACTCTACCTCAGGGTCGGCGCTGAGTAATTACCGCAGCTCCATCGAGTAATGATAGGGTTAAAGAGTCGCTAAACCAGTAGGCTTAGCACGCTGCACGCATCTTTGCGCCACATAAACTGCTTCGCAAGTAGTCCCAATCACAAGAATACAGTGTTTGCTTGACCTTGTTAAAAATCGTTAAAGATAAAATAAGAGGTATGTTATAAGCGACTTACGAGTATGTAACACTTACCAGTTTCTTATCTCATATTTTCTAGCAATCAGTCACTCTGTCAGTGGATGGTTAAATCAAAAAAGGACTTTTACTGATCCCGTAAATATCTGATGTTCTGAAAAGGATTGTTTTATCAGATATTTTTTATGCTTCAGAATTAAATTCTATTCTTATAACTCTGTGTGCCGTTGCTTAGGCTAGTAAAAATCTTCAGAGCATCGAATTTCGTGAGCAGGTATCCTCGTCGGGTGGCGTCGTGCGGGTACCAGACTGCCCTGACTGTTATTGTAAACACGGACCCGGATGACTACTACAGCGCATTTGTAGCCTCCCAGGGAGCTTTGGTGAGGATTGTTTCAGTCATTTTTATCTAAGTACCTACCTAAATTAGTTTATCATCTTGGCGGTCATACCAGTGAACATCCCAAAAATTAAATAAATATCTAACGAAGACATGTACTTTGAAAGGTTTCACATTCTGCCGTCTTCTTCTTAATTCTATAAGTTATAAAAAACATTGTTAAAATATTGTAAAAATATTGTTCTCCGGAAATAGGTTGCAAATTTTCGTTTTATTTTTCCCCTTGATATCCGTCCGGTGCAAGAGCTACATTTGTCTTCGCTGTTCGGTAGGGCCGGTACTAAGAATTGCATTATAGATAATATTTTTATGATAACGGATTATCTTGCTTAAGCACAATAGTACAACTACTCGGTAACATTTTAGGTTCACGGTCCAGCAGCATAACAGTTACGGACATAAAATTGTAAGAGACGAGACTGAGCGCCCGTTTATGATCATAATACCTAGTTGACTTAATACTGATATTTTGGGTCTACTATTACCTCCATGTCGATGGTAAAACCACTAGACCTGAGGAAATTTCGTCAGTTGTGCTTATTTTCATCATGACAGGTTTTCATAGATGATGCATACAATATGCCGGACATGGACTCGCCAGTGCGCCTCATGAGCCCCTTCACTGAAGTGATGATAGCTCTCTCACCAGAACGTACATACAGCACCCCCGGTATTAAAGGGTTTTCGCCAGAACAACGGCAATGCTACTTTATTGATGAGGTAAGCTGGCAGAACAGTGTTTCTAAGTTTGAAGTTACTATTATTGACCTTTTTTTCATTCTTTGAGGTTATGTCCTAATATTTGTGGGCCTATGCAAGGACGTCGCCGCTCCCTAGACATAATAAAAAATGTAGCCAAATTAAAGTAACCACTCAGTTGATTTGTGTACATTAGAGAGGTAGGGCTTAGTGGTTTTCACGTGCGATAGGCTATGGTGGCCGCTGACCATCAAGCCATACGCTTGTTTGCCACCATTTTAACATAAAATATACTTCCTTGCCTGAACAAACACTTCTGCTTCCTGCACATCGGAACTAGAATGAATAACTAAGTAATTTCAATCCTAACTGAGCTTCATGTACCCATAATTCTTAATATTACACCCTCCATTTGTAAACTACCCCTCACTAGGCATAGACATCGGGTGTACGTGAACTGTAGATTTTGATAAGATAAAACATGGTAACCTGCTTAAAAATGATTCACCAATGATTTTCAAATCCGTATAGATCAATCATAAGTATTTTTTTACGAGAGCGTCAATGCTAAGCTACTGACGCAAATTCATTATGCCGCAATATCTCTAATCGTGAATTATATCATAATCATTTACTATTTTGAGATAATATTTGTCGTAACTTTGTACAATGTTCCGATATCAAGATAATTAGAAAATTGTTAAGCGGAAGTCGTGGTCGACTTAATAGTTAAGTCGTGAATAGTTTCACACCAAAATTTCGTTTGGCATTTGTTTTTGCTCAAAGTTTCCGTACGGATTCCTGAATTTTGGTGCTTAGGGATTGGGGGTACATTCATTCATTATTTTTGTTTCGCTGTATACACGATCCAAAATTAATTCTATAATTTCTGCAATAAAAGTCGAGTTAGTAACTATGGATATTTTTCATCCAACTGAGCCGTAACTATAAAAGTGTTTTAACGCTAATTGATTAGAGCCCCAAAAAGAAAGATACAACCACGGCCACGGTATGGAACGCAAAATGACAGTATTTTGTAAGGTCATTGATCTTGTTTGTATGTTTAATGTATCGTGACGTCACATCCAAAAGCGTTCCAAAATAGCGCGCGTTTAAACTGCCTGTTCAAAGTGACTATTTTTAACATAACATTTTATACTATTTTTCTCCGTTGTTTTTTTATATTGTATGCATACTACTAAATAAAACGATGCATATTCCCTGTTGGCACAGTCTGATTCTTTGACCATTACTCAATTTTTCTAGATTAAAATCGGTGTGTTTCAACAGTATTCTTTTCATAACTGCATTATTCAACAAAAAGTTGAGTATATGAAGATGACCTGCAGATGTGTGCCGTTCTACTTCCCCACGAAAGGTAATGAATACATCATACATCATCACCATCAACCTATTAATGTCCCCTCTGCAGGGCCTAGGTTCATCATTATTATTAACGTAACGCCCGTTGCTGGGCCTTCCTTGAGAAATAAAGAGAAAGAATACAGTACCCTTAGCACGAACCAAAATCGAATGCGTAATGTTTGCCAGTCCGAAATTTCATTGTCAAATCTGGGGCCCAATTCTCGCGGCGTAGATATTATATCGGCTTCGAGATAATATCGAAAGGAGGGATATCTATTGAAAATATCTACTGATGGTAAAAAATGCTATTCTCGTGGATTTTCGATATTCCAATGATATTATATCTATCGTAGATATTCTGTCACTGCCGAATGCGTTCCGTTTTTCTCGATTAAGTTAACATCATAGTCTATATAAAATAATAATAAATTAGAGCAGAATTTTACAAGCAACAAAATGATATTTTATGAATTCCATTCATATTAAATATGAGTATACATTTTTTGAGTATAAGAAATCTCAACTTTACCTAAATTGTATGCGTGTATAATTTCAACGTTATGTATAATGAAACGTCAATATTATTTAAGATTCTCCCTTTTTAGGGAAGGCAAACGGAACAATGCCCATACAGCCTAGTCTTTAGTTATATTAATCTTCTTTTTTTACATTAGAATGTCGGTGTGACGCATTCTAATGTTTCTTGGAGTGTTTGGCACGAAATTTATGGAGTTGGCTTTTTCTCTAAGCTTCTGTGAGGTAGTCAACACTACAATAAAATTCTCGCGTCCACTTGACCGGAATAGCGTATATATTAAAGATTCCACTAATTCTTCAGTTGCGCAGACGGTTGTAACACCAAATCACACCAATTTTATTTCACAATAGCCACTATGAACGAATTTTAGAATAATTAAAATAAGACGCCAACCGCACTCGCAGAAATCCCGCCAAAAACTCCGTATCGTCAATAAGAAAATGGTGTCGATTCTGGCATGATTCTTTAAACCTAAACGTAAATTTGATAACAGTGTATCCTTGTCATTCTCCATACAGAATGAAAAGGAGAGACTGATGTTAAATTTAGTTTTAAGTTTAGAGAATCATGTCAGAATCGATACCAATGTCATTCATAACTTTATAGATTTATAACCAAATTTTTGTTTAAACGTAATTTTTTTATGAAGTCGGCGCCTCTCATTTCAAATGGGCCCTCTTGCTCTCACAACGGCGGCGCCTTAGCACAGCAGCAGCAATCACTAAATCATTGATGAAAACATGAATCAACTCATCCATCGTTAATATAAACTGGTGTCGATTCTGGCACGATTCTCTAAATCTAAACTTAAACTTGAAAACAGTGTTTCCTTGTCATTCTCTATACAGAATGAAAAAGAGAGACTGATGTTAAATTTAGGATTAAGTTTAGAGAAGCTGAACGCACAAACTGTGCATGCCATAAAAAAAAGAAAAAGAAGAAGTTTAGAGAATCACGCCAGAATCGACACCATTGTTTACCTACTTCTTTAATTCCTAATTATTTATGAAGGCAGTTAATAACATCTGGAGGTAACAATAATTGGCAATGACACACGACAACACAACAAATAATAGGTAAAAAAAGTGGAAATAACAAGATTGACATGCCAAGATCCATAGATATTTATATATCGAAGGCTCTTTACCAGTCGATGTATGTCTACTGATCATCCGTAGATAAATATCTATTGCGACATGGTGAGAATAGGGCAAAAAGGTTTTCCTTCGATAAAAGGCAGATCATTCGATATATATCGTAGGTGATATAATATCTATGCCGCGAGAATTGGGCCCCTGTACTGATTTTTAGTTCTCGTTACGTACTTTGTGTCGCTGCTGTTCAAGTTTCCATACAAAATTTGACATGCACATTTCGGTTTGCAAACTATTCGAATTCGATAATGGTTCGTGCTAGGGGTATAACCATACAAAACTTCTTGATATTTCACGCGTATCGAGATCGAATTCAATTATTTGAATTCGATATTGGTTCAAGTTAAGGGTACTGGTCAAGTCCCTTCACACGAGATCTGTGTAATTGGTCATCAGGTGCCAACGATTTCAGATGCAGCCAGTAGTAATGGAATAAAATATTTTTAGAAGCACGAAAATAGCGTAAATAAACTTTTGCGATCACATACCGAATTAGCTTACCATTGCGCCATTGAGCTCCTCCCGTACAATACTTAGCTATCGTAATCATCATTACCAGTCTACTAGTACCAATGTCTCTACTGTAGCCGTGACTAGGGAAGCCAACCCTTCTATATAATATAGTTGGCGAAACTACTAAAGCAGACTTTAGCCAGCAAAAGCTTTCTAAAAATTTAAAGTAAATATTTTATGTACATTTTTTTTCTACTATATTTTTAGAGATAGCAGCTTTGAAAATTCTATATTTGATAGAAAAAAGTTGGTTAACCTAGCCGTGACTCGCCCCGCGGGCTCAGTACGATTTGGTGGGTGCTAACGACTGTAGATGCAGGTGGGACCAACGGCTTAACGTTTTTTTCCGAAGCACAGAGGAGCTCAAGAAAATAAGTTTTTGGTCACCCATCCAATGACCGATCATTGCGAAAGTTGCTTAACTTTCACAATCGCAGGTCGAATGCACTAACCACCTGAGCCATCGAGCCCTTCTATCTATAGTAATAGCTAATCAAAGGATTCCGTCTAACCTTGAGACACATTAAGGATATGACACATAAACATCGTTGTATTTGGAAATGGTTAATGTTAAGATGCTGTTTGGCACTAATTAAATAAAACAGTGCCATCGGATGATATGTTTTTATAAGATACATACATTGGATTTAGAAACATGTGGTTTTGCGAATGAAAAACTAACCTAATCTCCTAAAAATGCTAAAAACATTATTATTATCTGAGCGGTTCCAGTGTTTGGCAATGTTTAGATTTTCGTGATAGGAATATCAAGTTTTAGTATGTAAAAATACATAAAACACCTGTTAACCAACGCAAACAAACATATTTCAAAGTCCTTAATAACTTTTTCTTGTTAATAATTTGACATTTTATAATTCCAGATAATTACCGGGTCTGTAATTTCTACGATATCGATTGCCTTGAAAGTATATTAAGTGAGTATTCAATGACTATTCAGTAATTTATCTTAAGGAACTCTAAAATACCTCTCAGTGCTGAAGCATGGTTCTCTCCTTCACTTAACTTTTTTATGAAAAAAGTGTTTTTGTTCTTCCGCTAATATTTCTAAAGGAGATTGCTCAAATTGGCCTAAATGCACAAAAAATATTGATATACACGGTAATTCTTAGCGTAATTTATAATTTAATTTACAGTCATTACATTTCAACGGACACCTTTATATAATATATTTACTTTAAAAAGGACTTTTAATTTTACCGGTTTTTAAACATACGAATCATTTTTAATGGCTATGGGTGTAGTAACATTCAGCCAAAGACTGATCGAAGTTGTTTATATAACATAAAAACAAATCTATTTTGTAAAGATCGATAAAATAAATCATTTTTTATGACAATGTGGTATTAATATCCACAACTATATAATCATTTTCACTACATGCAAATGTGCTCAGACAATTATTATAGATGGTAGGCGATGGTAGGCACCTCCATAAACAAATTATCATCTGTATATATGTTAGACTTTAAGGTATCTATCTATGGGCCTACGTTGCCTGACTATAAATTAATAAATAAATAAAATTATAAGGTGTGATACACTTAAAATCTTAAATATGGTTATATTAAAAACATAACAAAAATAATGAAGTTACTGAATATATGGCTATATAACCTAAATCTCTTAGCTTTCTTTGGTTAACGAGAGTTTAAAAATTCTCTCTAATCTGTGGCTCATTCACAATCATCACACAGTTTCTGTCACAGAATACCCTATTATAACCGGAAATGCATAGATGACACCTGATTTTAAAAGTTACTCATATGCATTAACTTTAAAAACAGGCAACTATCTGTTAATCTGCATGCTCTTTAAACCTGAATCTAATCCATAATTTCGGTATTTGGCTTGATTTCCCTAGTTTACTATATCACTTATTTGTTTTTTATTATTTTAATATGTTCAGTGTATATGGTTTATAGAAGTTCTCAGGGGTGTCCGTCAATAATATTCGTTTCTACAGTAATTTATATATTATTTCGAAGCTAGGAAACAATTTTTCATGATTATTGGTCTTTAGGCCAAACATGTATGGAAGCTGAGCAATCTCCTTTGTAGCTTCTCCGTTATTAAGGTGAAGCTTTTATAACATCATCGCCACAAATTTTTTGGGTCTTCTTTAGCATGTTACGTAACATTATTTTTTAATTGTTTAAATAAAACTCCAACCATATCAACAAGCATCGATGGTTCTGTGGTAGAAAGCTTGTCAGCAGCGCATGTGGAAGGACCGGGTTCTATTCCCAGCCGAGGCAGGCTTTTATTTATTAACGACAGTAAAAATTTCCCTAGCGTCGTTCGTGGGTTCATAAAACCACACCAATTTTTAATACCGTGTTGATTATTTAAAAGCCAATAGAATCTTTTGTAAATACAGCATCAGCGAGTAACAAAGGACATTGGGCAAAAATGTATGGACGCTGCACCCACGTCCGCCACGGCTTAAACTACATTTGTTTGAAAGGTATTATAGTCAAGATCATCTGAGCCAAAGCGCATCAAATTCCATCCCGGGGGTCTTTAGTTATTTTAAGTTAAATGTGTACAAGCACTATAACAAACGAACATTAATGAAACAAGGGAATTAATTTAGTTAGTTAGTTCGGCTCTACATAGGGTGCTCAGGAATTATGGGAGTACTTCACAAGGTGCAAGGGGGCACCCTTATGTTACTCTGCCGCGCTAGAGTAAATCCAAACATCCCCGCATGGGCTGAATTTTTTTAAACATTCTGTTCGTTATAGTAAATTGTCTTCTATGTAAAACGGAGCGACTTTGGAGAACACATGTGTATTGTTATTGCAAATACATATTGGGGGCAGCCGATATATGTAATTAAAACGATTGAAAAGGGGCTGCAACGAGATAACGATTAATACACAACTACGAATGGGTTTGCTAAAAGCGTAACGTACTCACGTTTGAAACCTTTGTCGCAAGCTTGTGGTGCGTATTCTTCTAGCTAGAGGGGCACATTAACAGCACACACACACAGTCACATAAGAAATTCACAGTTTATTGTTGACGAATTCCACTTGTTTGGTATACCGCACGTAAATATAATGTTATTATGATGTTAGCGAGTGCGCGGGCGCGGAACGGAGTGACGTAGGTCCTCTCGCGTGATCAGTGGCTTACTGTCTGCGTTAGGCTAGTAAAAAACCACATTCGCAGATGCATCGTTCTCGTTGCGAACCTACCCACATTTAAAATAATAAATAAGGAACCACGATTAAGTGATAACGGAACAACATGATTTCCAGTTCATCCATACTAATTGACAAAACCGATAATCGTGTTCCAATATCCAAAGCGTGTTAGATAAAAATCAATCAAGTAGCAGGGAGCGCACAATCACAACGAAGTAAGACAAGTCGACTATTTGCAACTGCAAGTCCTTCATCATCCATAAACCGTTTTGAAATGTCTCAGTAAGAGCAAGTGCAGGATGGTCGGCAGGCTTTGTCGTATATCTGGTTGTATAGTACGATATAGCATATTATTACAATTACTTATAATATAAAATGAAGGTATTATAAAATGAATTTATTCAGCTACTTAAATATGCCTGTGTCATATCTTTTGAGTACCAGGATATTTTTTACAGTGTCATATCTTTTGACTCCCAGGATATTTATTTTCGGTGTCATAATAAAAAAGGCTAGTTTTTCAAAGATCTATCGATTCATACTAATTACATTGTTGGCGGAGCTGGGTGCGTTTTGCCCATTGTCCTTTATTATTTACTTTTACCCCATTATTAATGAACAAGGAATCAAGATAGACTAGTTAGGCTGTGTTATGTTCATATCACTCAAGTACCATTTGTCATTCAATAAACAGTGACAAAACATAAAATAACTAATCCAAGCTTAGTCTTAGTTTATTAATAAGGGGGTTAGTATTTGTCTTCGCACAAACTTTGCTTGGCAAACTAAACACGCTATCTCAGGACTTGCAACCTTGCAACGAATAGTATATTCGGCAGTATACCGAATATTCGGCGAAGCCCCTGACCGAATAGCCGAATATTAGGCAAAAGTATTCGGCTGGATTTTAGCGCCAAAAACTTGTACAGACGTGATTGTTTCGCGCTCCTTTGTTTTGTTCTAATGTACTCATCGCTCGCGCCCCCGCTGTTGTTCTGATCTTTTCTTAAATATTGGTAATATATCACGTCATGACAACCCGTATACATGGTGGCAAGCAAGGAAATTTGAATTTCCGTGTTTGATTAAGATTGCAGCAAAATATTTGTCGGCGCCAGGAAGTAGTGTTTATTCAGAGCGCCTTTTCTCTGAAGCTGGGTCTACGAGAAAAAAAGAAGTAAACTACTTCCTAAAAATGCAGAAAAGTTAGTCTTTCTGCACCATAACCTTCCCCTTCTAAATTTTGATTACCACAATAATGCAAATACATAGAATTCTCCATATTTCCAATTCAGAAGATGATATTATGTACCAATGACTACTTAAATGATTATATATAACAGAAATGAAAATATGAATATATACGTAATGAATCGATTTTCATTTTTCATTTTACCAATTATTTCTCTATGACAAAATATATTATTTAAATTTTCGGTATTCGGCCAAATAATATGTAGATATTCGGTATTCGGCCGAATATAATAAAAGCAGCCGAATAGGCCGAATACCGAATAGTAACCGAATATTCGTTGCAAGTCTAATTTAGTTTATTGCACAAAGAAATATTTTAAGTGAGTAAATAGTCTCCTAGGACGCCAGGGTCTTATCGTACCGTATATTAGGAATAAATTGTTAAGAAGTAGGTAGTAAAAAAACTTAACCCAAAGAACTTGTAAACTATATTTTATCTGTGGCTCAGATTTAGCACCCGAGAGAGACAGTTCGGAACTCCAGTACTTACCTTTTCCGTTAAAAGTTCAGCTTTTGATTGAAATAGCATCGGAGACCAGAATATGGTTTCCTGCGGATACTGCGGATTGGGTCCACTGCGGGTCAGGCTCTGTGCGGATCAGGTTCTGTGCGGATTGAGACCAGTTCAGATTGGGACCAGTGCAGATTAGGCCCTGTTCGGATTAGGACCAGTGTGGATTGGATCTAGTGCGGATCGGGCCCTGCGCAGATTGAGATCAGTGCGGATTGGGATCAGTACAGATTGAGCCCAGTGCGGATTGGTCCTGCGTGGGTTGGGCCCTGTGCCGATTGGAAATCGTGTAGATAGGCCCTGTGCGGGTTGGGACCAGCTCCCTCCCCTATCCGCCTATTTTTTTTTTGCCTAGGCTATTTATTTACGTTAACTATGAATTTTCATAGACTTTTTCTGCCCGCTCAGCTCGTTAACAAAAGATTTTCATACACTATTCCAGCCCTTACTTTCCTAAAGCTTCATTTTTTTTAAATAGAATGAGGCACTTTCCGCTCAGGTATAGTATAAAGATATTTTGTGGTCGCGGTATTGGCATAGCGAAATGAACCTCGTTACGGTCCCCGTGTGGCTTATTTGCAACGCGCCGCGACAAGGTCCAGTGGTTTATGTACATTATAATCTTTTACAGAAATTAACGAGTTTCCAAATATGGAGGATTCGGGGAGGAAAATTCAATGTTTGCCGGAATGTGAGCATTTCAATTATCATTTCGAAGTGGCGCTCGGTACTTTGTCGCAAAACGTGCACCTTAATGGCCATCCCTTTTTGTAAGTTATAGTGACTACAGTTTTACATCAGTTCAGTGCCTACGTAAGTTTATTGTAGGCAGATTATTAGATTTAGGTGGTTGAACGAGCATTAGTAAAAGCCTAAATGTCACACCATTGGTTCGTAAAATTACTTTGGGAGACCTATCAACAAGTAAGGGTGTGGGTGGGGGAATTTGGAAGATAATGCACTTATTATGGTTTATGTTCGCGAATAATTTATGATTAGACAAACTTAATTGTATGAATAGATCGAAATATGAAATTATTAGCGGTACTACAAGTGTAAATAATAATAACATCGAACATAACATCGTGTAAATAATAATTCTGGGAGTTTTAAACAAAAAAAAGTACAAAAAATCTATAATTATGGTTTACCATCTAAGTGGTCAGTTTTACGTATTCTATACAAATCTAAAAAGTTATGATTCAGAAATTTCATATTTAAGATGTTAAAATGAAACGTTATTAGGAAAAAATATAAGCAACATGAAATATCGCTATTTTAACAGATTGGTATATTTCATAAAAACATTGTTCGAAACCTGCATAAAAATAAGTCTCCCCTTTGTAATCATTTGTCTGTTTTCCAGAGATGGTTTGAGTTTGGTTAATCGATCCTTGCTGAATGTGTTTTTCAATGATTTGGTGTCGACTAAGTACCGACGCGATGTCTACCTTAACTGGCAAAACATTTTAGGTGAGTAAAAGATGTTGGTTAAAAATTACTTTTGATTTATAAGATTACTGTGTTGTTATCTTTACCCGAACTCACACAAATAAACATCACATGACAGTCCTTAGTCACTATTATAGCCTTACGTGTGGAAAATGCCTTACGCATCCATCAGCCAATGGGGGATCATGAGGAAGGTATCCGGGACTCCTCCCTGTTCGCTTCACCCAGCTTTAGAGCTCGATGAAGTGACCAGGGCCATACCAGAGCGGTAAAAACCAGACAATACTCCTGCAATGGTCGTCCGGCACGCATTCTGAGGACCTCAGTCCCACCAATGCGCGACGGAAGTGCGGGTATGTGCCCTGTTCGACTGCCCGCGCACCCGACATGTCACTATTATAGTCTGCGCAGACGAAGGACTTTTGTACGTGTAGGACAAAAACATCAGAATAAAAAAAATGTCCGCCGCGGACTTGTTACGATCTCAACGCACACGGTGCGCGGACTTTGGTTGCCTGGAAATTTAGAGAAACATATATTCTTATATAATATTTTCGGGGACTCCCACGTACTTTTGTCCTGTCCGGTCTCTAGATGTCGTTGTATGCGTTATTCGATGCAGTTGTAAGTGATCTTTTTTGGCGGACAAAAGTCCCGCTTCTGCGCAGGTCAATAATAGGTGTATAGTCACTTTTTGCTCGATTGGTCAAAACCCCTTTCTGTATTCTGTGAAAGAAACTGACTTTCTTGAGGCCGTACTATGAGCTGTTAACGCCAGGCAAGTTCTCTTGTTGTTGGAGCCAGACATTATCTTATACATCAGAAAAGTGCCATCCCTTCAACTGTTGTTTTTGTCTTTCAAAAGTCTACTAAAAACATTAACATTAGCAATTGGGTATAAAATACGATATTTTAAATATCGTTTTTTATACCCACGCATGACACTACAGCCCGCTTTTATCACTTGATATCATTCTCCTTTGATGTATGATTTATCTCTGTTAGCCCTGGGAAAACATCTTAAATTTATTCAACGTTTAATCGTTGTGCTTTTTTTTATAAGCATGCTTAATAAACGCTTTTCGTTTAAACGCTCATTTAGTATGTTGCGTATGTAAAGCGCTTTGGAAAACATTTAAATATAAAGTTGATGCTTATGTTGTCAACGATAAACGAAATAAAGCGTTGAAAGCTTATAAACATTAATTTAAACAGAGTGAAAGTTTTAACCTAATCGTCTAAAAGGTACGAAACAAATAATATAATTTTATTTAATAATTAATAAACTTCTCTTCATACTTCTCGACAAGATTATTATTTACACAAGTATCTATTAAAAGTATTTATTTATCCACCCAAAAAAACCTCTTTCTGTATTCTGTGATTAAAACAGACTTTCTTGAGGCCGTATTATGAGCTGTAAACGCCAGGTAAGAGAGACATTATCTTATACATCAGTAAAGTGACATTTGGTTTTGCCTTTCAAAGAGTCTGCTTAAAACATTACCATCCGCAATCAGGTATAAACAACGATAGTTAAAATATCGTTAAGTAAAAATCATAATTACTTAAAAGGGTTTCGTTACCTTAGGATTAAATGCAATGCAAAATGTGTTTAATGCTCGTCTGTATGATTAGTACACATTTTTGTGAACTACCTAAACGTCGCACCAAACTATGTGGATGCCTCACATAGTCATCATAGTCAATAGCTTTCCATTAAAATTGGAGCAATTCCAATAACTTGAGAAACACATTATTATAAATACCTTATTAATATTAAATCCTTTTTTTACAGTTATTATTTCGTATACATTTTGTTATTTTTTTTTATGGAAATTACCATAACCGAACTATATCAGGATGTTACCGATTTGATTTTTTTATGCAAACGAATTTTCGTTCTCATCAAAGCAAAAACAGTTCTATTGCAAAAACAAGAGGTTTGTAGTCAGAAAATGAGAGAGAAATGATTGCCCTTAGGGTGCTAAAAAGAAAGGAATGCCTCATAATCAAATAATTATCTTTATTCAGATCACATTCAGATTTTCCAAATAGCCCGAGCTAATCTGATTGAATAATCCATTGTTGTGAAGATTTTCCAAAGGTAATGTATAAGTTTCCATACAAAATTTGACACTGACATTTCGTACTCGCAAACGTTACGAATTCGATATTGGTTCGTGCTAAAGGTACTCTGGTCGTAAGAAGTTTTGCACGCATTAGTTTCGATAGTTTTGACAAAAATTGAAATATTCCAACACTTGCAATATTCAAAAAATATGTAGTTTGTGTAACGGTAAGCCTAAAATGATATTTATTTATAGTACTAGTGGCCCGCCCTCGCTTCGCTTCGGGGTAGAGCTGTAGTGTAGACTAAAATGACTCTTCATATAATTATAATAAAAACTGAAAATGGTATATCTACCTTTTCCAAACTTCTATTGACATCACGTCACTCAATTGTTTTTGCCTTCCCGGAAGCTTTCCACTAACATTTCAAATTTATGGTATGGTATTAAAGTTCAAAATGACTTTTAAATATTATTGCGAATCGTTTGTATGGACGTATAGAAAAGTGTTGTTTTTGAAAATTTTTCAGGCATTTTTTTTAATTTTTTCTGCGTAAGAACCATCCTCGTACTTCAAGGAATATTCTAAAAAAAAATTATCGAAATCGGTTCAGCTCGAGATTTGCGCTTAGCAACACATTCAGCGATTCATTTTTATATTATAGATTTTCCATCATACCTTTGTCGCACGCGTGTTGACTCAAAACATGCATGACGCTACAGCCCACTCGCGTCACTTGATATCATTCTCCGTTTGCATGATTCATCTCTATTAGCGATGGGAAAAACGGCTTAAATTTAGTCAAAGTTTAATTGTGTGTTTTTTTTTAAAAAAGCATGCTTAAAAAACGGTTTTCGTTTAAACGCTTTTTTAGTATGTTGTGTATGTAAAGCGCTTTGGAAAACGTTTAAATATAAAGCTGATGCTTATAATTCTATATAATTAATCATAATCAATAAACTTCTCTTCATACTTCTCGACAAGATTATTTATAACAGGTATATAAAGTGATTATTATTCACACAAGTATCTACTAACAGTGTTAATTTATCCATCCAACAAAAGTTTAGAAAAATTTTGATCACTAAAGTCAATGTAAGCAAAATTACGTAAATTCAATTAAAAAACGTAACAAAAGAGCACACAGCACACAAACGCGTAGGTTCTCAGAACATAGATAGCATGACAGTCAAAGCATGCTTTATTACCTAATACATGTAATTTTGTACAGATAAGTAGATGGCAGACGGGACTAGGCAGAAAGCGTGTTGTTTATCAATTTATAAGCATGCTGTTGTGCTTTTATTAAAAAGCAGACTTTTTTAGTTGCTTATCGTTTTAACGCTCACTTTTTATCTCTATATAGATACATTTTTTTGTAAAGTAAGAACAGTGAGGCGGCTGCTCTCGCGATGTGTATACGTTACGTCCAATGCTCTACTCATACTCATAACGCAACTCAATACAATTTTTCAACTTAATGAAAAATCATTAGCTTCCGATTTCTATAGCTGTGATTAGGTTGAGTCAGTGTCCATAGTTCATGATTTGATGAATAACTCTCAAGATAGAGCATGGCAGCGCAGATGAGTTGAAAAAAATATCTCCCATCTGGTGGGGTCTAAGTCGTTTCCCGTCACTTAGTGTTCAGTACTGTTCAGTACAACGCTGAGCGATACGCACGTCCATTACCGAGTTTCATGTTGAAATTATTGCTTCAAAATGCCGAGTAAAAGTTTGCCGAAATCATAAAGGACGCATAAAAACAACCAACAAAGTCACTTACCATCGGTAAGTAACTCATTATTCGCCTTAAAAAATAAAACTATATCATCATATTAGTAAAACCAAAATACGACTCCATCTTGACATTTTCAAAGTAATGTCAGAGTCTCGTTACAAAATTCCCCAAAAAAGGATGGCGTAATCAAAATAAGTCAGGAGTTCCAAAAATGAAGATAGAGCTTCGATTAAAAAAATGATGACGAACAAGTGAAGTCTGCAATTTCTACTTGTTTTCAGAGGCTTGACATTTTTTTGCGAAAGTATAAATAAGTTATTTAAAAGACCTGAAAAATGTATAAGGCTAAAGGGAAAATACCTATATTGAAAGGAAAAATAATTTCATGTTTAATTTTTGCCATCTACCCCTTCATCTCGAGCATTGTGCGACAGGAAAAAACCCGTCTGCTTAAATATTACTTCAAATATAAACTGAAAAGAAAAAAACAAGTCCAGTAGTCTTTAATTCTGTTAAGTAAGGAACAAAGCTACTTTAACAGTCGGGACCCATTAGATATTCAAGGATGGATCAAATTTTTTCAATGATGGGTCCCGAGGTTTACTGCTAACGAACACTCATCGTGCGCATGCGTAATAATGTTACGCATGTGCGTGCAACGAGACACAAAGAATGACATTTCGCTGCCATTTCGCGAGTGTAAGACACAAGATTCGCGTTTTGTTTTGCGTGTCACGCACAAATGTAAATAAAACCTGGCCTATTATTAGGGTAACCAACTTCTTTCCTATTAAATATAGTATTTTCGAAGCTGTTACCTCTAAAAATATAGTCGACGACAAAAAATAGGAGAAATATAGTATGCGGTTAAAATATTTACTTTATTTTTAAAATTAATATATTTCTGCTGCTCTATGTCTTAATAATTATTTTTTTATAATTAAAAAAGCTTTAATTGGCAAAAGTCTGCTTTAAGCAAAATATAGTAGTTTCGTTTACTATATATATATATATATTTAAATATAGTATTTGATCCTCTAATATAGTAGGATACTTTATTATATAGTAGGGTTGGCAACCCTACCTGTTATCGCACTGTTGACAAGGTGACGCTCTATCTAGAGAGTAAATAATCAAAGTGTTCATGGTATTATTTAAATCGCTACACGAAATGGATTGATCGCTAGAAGAAGCTCCTATTTTTTTTGCAAATAACTTGCCTTATTTATTTACAGCTTCATTTGGCGGACTGCTCAGCTTGATGCTTGGTTTCACCCTTATATCCGGTTTTGATTTGATACTCTACACATTTGGTGTGTTGTATAGCTACATGACCCATTCGGTAGCTAAAAAGAATTCACGCGTCAAAAAGGATATTAGTAAAGAGGGCGCACCTGAATTTTACAAGAAAAACGCATGGCAAGATAATAAATTAAAGACAAATACAAAAGGTGTCAGAAATTTAAGGAGATGGTGAATTGTTACATAACCAGCTGCTTCGCTTACATCCTGTACTGATCGCATTCAATTTTGTTAATCCGACTGTGTATTAGATTATCATCACATGTATGATCGGTTGCTTATTTTTGTTATTTAAGCACTCGCTCATTTAAAATGAATAGGCTTTTCCAAATATTTTTCATGTAAATGTAACGTTTTGCTGATTATATGAAAATTAAAAAACTTGCCTATATCTTGGGTTTTAATTTTACTGCATTACACTAAAGTGTTCCGCTAATGAAAAGGTTGCCAATTATTGTATGAGATTTAGCAATAATATAATTGTTGTGAAGTATAGCTACTTAACTACTTGTGCGGTCTTTAACACTTGAAACTTCTCGCTAAAGTTGTGTTTAACATTACATTTTTTTATTACATAAATAAAATAAATACAATAACAGTATTATTCAGTACCAGTGGATCCGACATACATTGACCTACCTCAAACCTGACCGCAGCGCCACCGATGAGATGGAGTTTTAAGTTAAGTTTTCTGTATGTTAATATTCTGTAAAAACCTTTTACAAAGATAATGTTTATTTTTGGATGAAAGCGGTAAAGCCGTTCTTAAGTTATGGCCGGGGCCAGACTTAAGTAAGGGCATACGGGGCTGTGACCCAAGGGCCCCCACAAGAGAGGGGCCCAACAGGGAGAAAAAATATCGTTGCCCATGGGCCTCCACACCTCTAAATCCGGCCCTGGGCGTGACCAAGAGAAATAGGTATTGATTTTTATTCAAATAGACAGCGATTCTGATTTAAATGCACCCTTATTCCCATCCGATCGTCTGAGTAGTAAACAGAACCGGACATAGATCTTTCTTCACAGCCTTCTGTATTTCTACAGTAAAGTAAAGCTCGGTATATTTTAGACCTTATTTCCACTAAGCCTAAGACTTGTCACGCGCGATTCCTAGTTATTCAGATAGTCACAGACTGCGTCATTACTATTGCGGTTGTCAGCGAGTGTTTTCCTCGCTTCTGGCAGATGGCGTGGTAACTGGTACACAGCTGATCGTAAAAAAAAATGTTGTTGTTTTCTCAGATAAGTGAGTGATGCAAAAAATAGATAAAAATCAAGCAATCCTTGATGCGGATTTTATAGCATGTTAAAATTTCAACTCAATCGGTGCAGAACTTTTTAAGTTTTTGAAGCGTACACAAACCAACATAACATTTTTATATATATAGATACTAATATATGTACAGTACATGTATTCTATCCGTTACCCTAGCATCCCATAACACAAGCCTTACAGTGCTTATTTTGGGGATAGTCTAATAGGTGTGTGTTGTAAAAAAAAAAAAATCCCCAATACCCATTGGATGGCTAGCCGTGCGCGACTAGCTAGAGTTAGTTAGAAATTGAATTTTCTTCAGCAGATATGCAGTCTCTCGTGGGAGTTGTAGTACCCGTTATATTGATGGCCTCTGCTTTGATAAACACTCATCTAAGGAATTCACTGATATTCGTGTGTAATTGAAAATGTATGTGTTGTATTTCCGCAACTCATTATAGAACGAATAAAATGGACCTTTTGTAGTAGGTACTTACGTTCCCTTACCGGAATATAACATTGGATGTGCCTATCCATAATCTATGTTTTGGCATTGTTGTTGTAAATAAGTAAAGACATGTTATTTCTTCGACTTTCATTTTGAACAGGAGCTTGTCTGGTAGTAGACTCTAGTCAGAGTCGCGAGCAAACAGTCGTACGCAGTCGCTGCAAAGCTAGCTGCAAGCGGCTGCGGTCGTCGCCCGCGACTAGTCGCTCAGTCGAAATAAAGTCAAATGTTATGAAGGCACCATTTACCCGTGGTCTGGGTGAGTGAAACAATGCATTGTCGCATCGCTATCGCTTACGATTTCATATTGTTATTTCTGACCACTGAAGGTTTTCAAATATCATTCATTTTCATCGCTCATTTTCTTTAATATTGTTATTACCAATTCAAAAGAATAAAAACGAACGCGCGGCATTTGAAAATCTTCGCCGGTCAGAAATAACAAAATGAAATCGTAAGCTATAGCGATAGCCATAGCCATAGTAATCTCGTTAGGCGATTGGCCGCCTGGTCCTTGAGTACTTTTAATTACACGTAGTTCTATAACATATTACTTACTGCCAAATAAAAAAAAACAAAATTGATTTAAATAGTTATAAGTTTTATTCCAAAACAGTTAAGATTATCCTACGAGGCTTTTCACTGATATCTTATATACAAGTACATAACTTTGCAACACTGTTACAACTAGCATCAGGATGTAAAATTTCTTACGCTTTCTATATAACATGGGATTGGGAATGGGTCGGGGTAGTCACCATTGCGAGTGATATTTTCGTTATCGCAAGCATCGCTTGTTTGCCACTCTTTTAACATAAGGAAACTAATTGTTCACTAGTGAGTGCCTGCGATTGCCTGTAAATAATAATTGTTCCTAAACAAACTTCCCTTATATAATATCGCCCTTTCAAAGTTTGGCAATAGATGAGGTCCAGTAGAAGTTCTGAGTACCGGTGCCCTCTATCTCAGTACCAAAATACATTTAAATCTTTTCAGTGTTCACCACATGGAAGCGCAACATTCAATTTCAAAAGACATGATATTTTCTGGGCTAAAATAATGTTGTTTTTGAACCACTATCATATGTGGTTAAATTGATAGAGAAGATTATATTTTTGGATGTTGGCTAGATGTCTAAATATAAAGAAAATTTTAGTAGAATAAAATCCACGTGGATTAGGCAGCAGACGGTACTCGACCCTGCTCCTTTTGCTATCCGGGCGGATGCACTGACCATTATGCTACCGCGGTCTTAATGGTCGTGTCGAAGTTCCTCTAGTATTTCTTAGGAAGAGTCTTGCAAGGCAGTGCCATCTCTTCGCATTGTAGGAAGCCCACAATATCAAACAAATACCTTTACAAGTATTAAACATTTGAAAGATGAAATATCTATTGTACTTACCAGGCCACTCAGAAAGTTTTGCGAAAAAGAGTTTTTATGTATAAGACACTGACCACTTGTAATTGCTACTATATACTCGGAATCACTAATTGATCTAATATTAACTCGTAACTCGTTAAGACCTCGAAGTATTACAGTCATTCATAACGATGATCTGAGTGATCATGGATTGGTAATAGCCGAATTTCCCATAGAAATAGAAAAACTCAAACCACGGTTCATGACCTCCAGATCCATCAATAGTAACAAAGCAGAGATAAATGCAGCTGCCGAGTATACTCCATGGGAATTCGTAACTTTGTACAGTAATATTAATGATATGGTGTCGATGTTTAATATACTCATTCTAGATCTTTTTGATACATTCGCTCCTGAACGTACTTTTAGAGTTAACCGTCCACCTTGCCCTTGGATGACTGATGTACTTCGTAGAGTAAAAAAAGAACGCGATCGTGCATGTACAAAAGCTAAAATATTAAAATCGGATTCGGCTAAACAGTATTACCGTACTATTCGTAATTATTATAACTTTGCAATAGCACAAGAAAAGCGAGCATATTTCAATCAATTTGTTAATAAAAATCAAAATAAGCCTGGTATTATGTGGAGACACATAAACAATATATTTAAACCTAATCAAGAAAATTCAATCCCCGTTCATCTAAACGATGCAAATGCACTCAACAAACACTTTTCAGATTCTATACCATTAGTACCAGGAGATAATGACGAGTTGAATAGGTTTAAATCTTGCCGGCGCACGAGCAATGTGTTTGAGTTTCTCCGTGTCAGTGAGTCGGAAATAGAAAATATCGTCGCTAAAATGTCTTCTAACTCTCGGGGATGTGACGGTATATCGATGTGCATGATACAGTTAACACTGCCTTACTCTATGATTGCTTTATCTTCCATAGTAAATAAATCATTGCAAGATGGCGTCTTTGCCGATGATTGGAAATGTGCATTGATTACTCCCATTCCAAAAAAGACAAAAGTTGAGTGTGTCGATGATTTGCGGCCTATAAGCATACTTCCGGCCATTTCTAAAATAGTTGAAAAGTGTGCTTTAACGCAAATAAACAAATTCATTGAGAAGGAAGATATATTACCAAGTTTTCAATCGGGATTTCGCTCAAAACATAGTACATGCACAGCGTTACTGAATATAACAGATGACATTCTTTCTGCATCTGATCACGGTTTGGGTACCATAATGGTATTACTGGATTTCAGCCGTGCATTTGATTCGGTAAATTTGGAACTATTGTTGGCCAAGCTTAGGTACTTTGGATTTGGTGACGTTGCTTGTAGCTGGTTTGACTCTTACTTGTCAGGTCGCTCACACATGGTACGATGTGTAAAAAATGACGGCGGGTTCGAGATATCAGATCCGATGGCTATCACAAGGGGGGTGATTCAAGGTTCCATATCCGGTCCTACGCTGTTTGCATTATATACATCTAGTATCACTGAAGTTATTGATAATTGTCGGTATCACCTTTATGCAGACGACACACAGCTTTATGTTCACACCAACCCTACTGTGAGCGGTGTGTCGTCGGCCGTGAGTCAACTAAATAGGGATCTTCAGGCCATCGCCGAGTGGTCTAACAGGCACTGTCTAATGCTAAACCCAACCAAAAGTGTCCAAATTATTTTAGGTACTAAAAATCAAGTGGAATCTATCAAAAGTGTACAAGTAAGCGTAAGTTTAAACAATGTGCCTATACCCCGGGAAAGCTGTGTTCGGAATCTAGGTCTGTACATGGATGAAAATCTTAGGTTCGAGAATCATGTTGGGCGAAAGGTTGGCCATTGTTTTGGGTCGCTCCAGACTCTGTATAAACTGAATCGATTTTTATGTACAAATGTTAAATTACAACTATGTAACTCCTTAGTTTTATCGCACCTACAATATTGTGATATTGTATTTGGTCCGTGTTTGCTTGCAAAGACTAAGCAGCAAATTCAGAGGGTACAGAATGCTTGCATGCGATTTTGCTTCCCAATAAAAAAGAGGGATCATATTACTCCCCACTTGGTGCGTAACGGGGTTCTGAATATGGGCGGAGTAAGGGATTTGAAATATGTTTGTTTTTTGTATTCCTTGCTTAAAATAAATATACCGGAATATTTGGCTAGTAAGTTAAAATGGAGGACTCGTGGTAGTAATTTGAGGGACACTGGCCTGCGTCTGTCTCTGCCTTTATTTAGAAATGCT